CCAAAACTATATTTGTCTAAAAAAACCTTTCACATAAAACTCCGTGTTGGTCACTCTCGGAGTCCATGAGTTAAGTAAACTTATAATTTTTTGCGAGCGGACGTAGGAAGGCAATTAATTAATAGAACCCATTATTAACACAATGCATTGGATGGTTGTATGTAGTTATAATACAAAGAATGAGTCGAATTTGTCAAAAAAAAAAAATGGTGCGCGTGCAACTTGATGCACGTGAAAGAAGTGAAACTGCTGGTGGTAGGACCTCTTGAGAGTCTGCGCGGGTGAGTACCACCACCCGTCTATTTCTGCCGTAAAGCAGTAATGCGTCTCGGTTTGAAGGGCGGGGCAGCCGTTGTAACTATACTGAGACCTTAGAACTGATATCTCAAGGTGGGTGGCGCATTTACGTTGTAGATTTCTATGGGCTCCAGTAACCACTTAACACCAGGTGGGCTGTGAGCTTGTTCACTCATCTATGCAATAAAAAAAATAAAAAACTTCTTTTGCGGTGTGTAGTATTGTGGTTTTTTCATTTTTCATCCTTAGATAAAATTTCTCTTGCAATAGGGAATGCGGTGTTTAAGAAAAACGACCTAGCTCGCTTTGTCCTTTCCCTCTCTCCGTCGAGTGGTTCGCGAGACGTTATGTCTATTTTCTCACTCTTGCTCTTCCTAAACTGTATCTTTTCTCTCTAGCCATAACAAATATGTCGCGAGTTAAATTTTATTCTCAACGTGCCTAAAGAAATGTCACTTCAAAAACTACTAAAATTTGGATTTGCTTCGGTAGGCTTATAAACATACATTGGGGTAACTTCAATTTCTTCATAGCCCATTATAGGTCTCCAAGGGTGTTTTTTTGGTGAATGAAAACAATAGCCCACTTGTGGCGGGACACTGGGACCTCCCGCTGTCTCCTTTACTGGACTCCATTGTTGAAGTTGCTACGACAATAAAACATTCAAATGTCAAATTGTATTTCATACAATCTTCAATCATCAATAGCAACGATGCAAAATTCTTGCAGTGCTGAGCTACTACTTCACAATTGATCATTCATTAATAGGATTATAGCGGCAGTCACGATAAGAGGGTAATCGTGACTGCCGCTAACGACGGTGCAACGCAAACCCGCCATCGCCCAAAACTCACCGAATTCTCCGGACCCACTGTCGGTGCTTTTAGCCTAGGCTTTTCATGGTAAGTGAAAAATAATTTAGTATTTTCGTAATTGAATAGATAATGCACATCAAAAAACGTTATCCATTGAGCGATATTTTCGTAAAAAGCAAACTGTTCCAAACAATCATTGAGGGCATAAAATAATTGTGATTTCCATGATTATGATTATGGTGAAGTACATAGTTTCAATCTTAGATTATATACGACTCGTGTAAATGATCTAAGGTTTCAATGTTATTTATAATTATTCGACACAAACCAGATCAAGCATTTGATAGTATGATATGTTACTACTAAATAATGTTATTTAAGATTAACCTTTGCGGTCCTAAGACTAATGTATTGTAAAACTATATGTGTAATACGTGTGGACACTGGACCTCAAAGGGTTAAAACTTATGGTTGAATTATAGGTAAGACTATAGGCAATTACCGTGCACATTGTCTCTTCCTTAGCCATTTTCTGATTGTAAGCTTAATAAAATACAATTGAAATTTAGATAAATTTAAATTAAAAATATAATAAACATAGGATTATATTTTTACAATTCAAACAAATTTCGAATTACTGCCAAAGTGACATTAAACATTATAATAGAATCACGGAGGCCCAGAAAGTACACAGGTAAATAAAATGAACAAGCTTAAGGGGTTTTCAGTTATATTCTTAGTATTTTCTTTGTTATTTTGTACCTACCTAATATAATAGCAAAATACCTCGATTTTACATACCATAAGCTTGCATGGCCAACAACCAAGAACGCTTCACGAAAGAGTTCTCGATTAAAAAAATATTGTGTAATTGAAACTAAATTTGCAAACAATTGTTCGAACCAGGAGATATGGTAGATCAGCACGCATATCGATGGGCATTAAGAACTTATCGTCATGTACAACGCGTGCTTGAAGTCTTCAAAAGCTAACAACGTGTTTAGATAATAGCGATACAACTCATACATACCACCAACGGCGGATCCAGGGGGGGTCATGGGGGACATGACCCCCCCTGAGTTAGCTCCAGTACTTAGGTGGACCGCTAATTGAACATTATGATTTTATTTATATATTTTGTTACCATACGGATTTTATGTAACTAAATACCTTCAATATTTAATATTTATACAGTACTTACGTACATTAATAACATGCCTACTTTTTACTTGTATCTATTGTTATCAAAATTAAATTATAAGTTCTTGACTTGATCACGACTATGTGACCTCCTCCTGGCGCCAAAGTTGGATCCGCCCTTGCATACTACTACCCACCTAGTGCTAGTACCCAATACTACTGGTAGCTCAGGGCGATGTTGTTGCCTATTTCATGTTGCGACCACAATAAATCTGACCTATAGACTTACTAGTCAGAATTATGTTGTGGATTTTCGGATTGGGTAAATACCATTGTCATGTCATCAGATGGTGGGCGGGATTTAAATTTCTAAAAGGACAGTGCAGTATCAGATTTTATTGTTAATTATTACTTTGCTAACTCTTTTTTATACTACAGGTTGTCTAATGAAATACTATTAATATTAACGTTGCAATATGTAGGTATAAGGTCAAGAAAAACTAAGGCAAGTTATAAAGTAAAAATCATATTTATAAAGATATAGCTGACCCGGCAGACTTTGTAACGCCTCCATCGATAAATAAAAGACCTAAACTTTTGTATAAAATAAACTTAAAACAAACAAAAGGAATCCGTTCAAAAGGGGGCACATCAAAGTAAAAACAAAATTTATTATTTTTATTTAATTCCGAGCATTTTCATATTTATCTACCTTTTAAACCTTCTCTAGGCTTCCACAAATAATTCAAGACCAAAATTAGCCAAATCGGTCCAGCCGTTCTCGAGTTTTAGCAAGACTAACGAACAGCAATTCATTTTTATATATGTATATAGATAGAAGATAAATTTCACTGGCTATGTTCCGATTTACACTGCGAGCACGTTTAACTTCGAGGGGCTATTCTAGAATCACTGAACTAGTAAGTGAGCTCACGGGGCTCAAATCTGAGGTCGTTGCTAACACTAGCTCTAGCAAGAGTAGTGCTTCGCAGAATCTACCACCGGATCGGAAAGGCGACCCACTGAGAAGATCCGACGAGAAACTCAGTAGGCTATGTCTGTGGGTTAGTTTACTCGCCGAGCTCTTTTTCGTCGCAAGCGACGGGCTCGACGAGAACAATGACCGGTGATTGGGGTACCTAAAAAAAAGCTTAAATTTATCTATATAAAAAATTTGAATAACCCAGCTATCGTCAGTTGAATTAATAAAAATAAGTATACTTTTTAGTAAAAGAAAATATTAAACTACAAGCAATTTAGGTAATGTTAATAACTTAATAATCGAATTATTGAAATGAGGCTGTGCAAGGTAAAAGTGATCACGTGATCAAAGTACTGACAGCAACTTACGTCGAAAAGACTAGTGCTCACAGTAGAAAAATGACGATGATTTAAGACGTACATTTTTCCGATACTGCGACTGTATACTGTCAGTCCAAAACGTAACGAATTTCCCCCCTTAGTAAAAGCATTGGATAGTGCTCGCAACGTACATCGACTTTCGACCTGGACTCTTGACTGAAACGTCTATACTGAGTCTCAAGCATACCATCCAGTGCTACATAGACTGAGACACTCCTGTCTACGACCGCTTTTTAGACTTATCTAAAGCGTTTGATCTGGTGGCGTATGACAGGTAGTGGCATAAGTTGTCAAGTGATACAGATTTGCCTCATGAGTTTGTCTCTCTCTTGAAATACTGGTATGGTAATCAGAGCAACTTTGTGAAGTGGTCGGTGTCGCAATCGGACATGGATAGGCTCGATTATGGGGTCAGACGAGGTGGTTTGTCATTGCCAAACTTTTTTTATTTATACATAAGCCGCCTGATCCATGGGCTCCGCCATGCCAGAGTCGGCTGCTCCATTGATAGTGTGTTTGTCAGGTTAACATCGTGTTGCTAAGCCCATCGATCAGGGGTCTCAGAAAGCTGATTTGGATATGCGAGCGTTATGAGGAAGAACATGGGCTCCGATATAATGCCATTAAAAGCGCGCTAATAATATTTAAATGAGGCAGAAAGACCTATGAAACTGTCCCACCAGTCACACTTAGCCGCAGTGTCCTTAAGCAAGGGTCGCAAGTCGCAATTCAAGTATCTGGGTCCTGGGTCACTGAGACGCTTGCAGACGATGTAGACATGGAAAGGGAGCGCAGGGCGTTATCAATCAGGGGTAATATGCTGATACGTAAGTCGCGCGGTGTACTACAGAAGTGAAAGCTATTCTTTTCAGAGCATACTACCAGTCTTTCTAGACGTGCAGCCTATAGGTTAAGCACACCCAGAATATAATAACGCTTTTAAAGCGCTGATGTGGCTGACAAGTCTTTGCGGTGCGTCGGGGATATTTGCAGATGCGTGAATAGCGCGATAGCTTCGGAGCAATCATTCGTAAACGAATCGTTTCCGCGATTTGCCGCGTGCGAGGCAGTCCCAGTGGCTACCCTGAGGCTGTTCGCTTCGCGGATGGATCTGGAATATATTAAGTGTATAATCTATGATCTGGACTGCCCAATAATGCAACACTCGACAAGTGTGCATCCTAACCAGCCTATAGGTTAAGGTAGTTTTGTTTTAATTTAATTTCGAAATAGTTGTTGTTGTTTTTATTTTATTATTTTAATCTATGTGAAGGCAACATGGATGTAATATCTGAAGTAAATGAAATAAAAAAATGTAAAGGCCTTATGTAGGTATCTGCGATATTCCCTTCACCCATTCGACTGTTTCAACGTCACAAAACAAACGTCAGATGTCAAATGATATCAGATAAAAACAAAAATATTTTTACAAAATTTGCAATGAATTTGTTCAGATTAACTCAATTTTACTTAATCATTCCATAAGAGAACTTGTGTTTTAAAGAATTAATAGTCGTCAAATAGTAATATCAAATATGAGCAGCGTACCAGACAACGCGCCGCAACGTATGTATTAATTAAAATCACAACACGTTGCTGTATATCGTTAATAGCAAAAAAAACAAATTTAGTAAAGAATGCATTTATTAATACTGTAGATTGCCCTGGAACTCAAAGCGAGGATGCTGGTAAAGCTTCAGCCTGTGCTGGATGCCCTAATCAAAACATTTGCGCATCTGGTGGGTAAAAAATATCTTTATAATTGTTTTTTATTACTTCAAACGAATATCACCTATTTGAAAAATTACAAATAGATATTCTCGTAGGGGAAACAAGAATAAAACTAGCTACACAAATAAACTAAAAATGTAAACGAAAAACATTTAATTTACTTTGTAAACACATCTTATTATTTTTTATTGCAAGATCAAATCGAGAATGGGCAATATAACCTGAAGATAATTATTAGCCCTTTGCTGCCCCTATCGACGGCATCAATTGATTTTTAATATGGATATAATTAATATTATACTTTAACTTTTTTTTTGTTAAATCAACAATAATAATTAGATCATGTAAAAATGCCCTGTGAGAAATTATTTTGAAAATTCTCAATTGATCTTAATTTAAACGTGTTGATTTTATTAAGTTGATTGAATAGTATAGAATAGATTTCACTGCTCCATATGCTTAAATATAGTTTTACCAAGATTTTTACTTCTTTAGACTCCTGTATTTACACTTGATTCATCACTAAAATGGACTAAATACAGGTATTGAGAAACTGGAACTGGACTTAATATTATGAGTTTCTTTTTAAATTCCCTGCAAAAAAATTATAGAATTTTATTTTATTAATTTTTTTATTTAGTACTATAGTAAAATTCAGTACCTTGAAAGCTTATTGCTTAGAGAACTGCTTACACAACACAGTATCATACTATTATTTCTTGGTTGCTCTTAGTATCTTTGCTAGTGTTATTTGGTAATTATGTTCTCTTTACTCTTGTAGGGGACATTGTTCACTGTTTAATTAGAAGTACTGTAGACTACAATGCGTTTTGATAGTCCTAANTCAGAAAAACGAATTATTGACTTTGTATTCCATTGGCAGTCACAAAACTCTTCGGAACGACATCTTAGATAAATAACAGGTTAACTATTAACCTTTATTTAATGCAGGTTTTGAACCGTATTCTTTGAAGGAGACGATTATATTCAAATCAATCTGTATTGACATATCAATAAATTTTTTTTGTCCAAATGCACAGATTTGATAATAGACAACTCATTTGGTAATTATGTTCTCTTTACTCTTCCCCTACATTGTTCACTGTTTAATTAGAAGTACTGTAGACTACAATGGGTTTTGATTGTCCTATTAGGCCGTTAATACTTTTAAGCGAAATGTAAAATGATTTTCATAGGAGAAGCATCTCAACCTGACCCCGCAGTAGAACTGATAAAACAACGTCTCTCCAATGTAAAGCACAAAATTCTGATCTTGTCCGGTAAAGGGGGGGTCGGAAAAAGTACTGTGACATCACTAATTGGGCACGGTCTTGCATCAATGAGTCCTGATATAAACGTAAGTAGTTTAAGAGATTATTGACAAATTATGAGATTATTAAAAAAATCAGTTTATAATTTTTTACCTTAAAGTTCTGACTTGTAAGATGCTCATGGTAGATTCATTTTTTAGTTGTACGTTTTTATTTTATGTATTTGTGGTGGGGTATATTGCACTCTTTCATGGTTAGGTCCATCATCCTACCTATTTCTGCCGTGAAGCAGTAAAAACTAAGTACATATATTTTAATTGCATAAATAATTGTAAATTAAGGACAGGAAGCTGTGCTATCTCAGTATTAATAGCATATGGTTATTATGGTAGGCAGCGGCTTGGCTCTGCCCCTGGCATTGCTGACGTCCATGAGCGACGGTGACCACTTACCATCAGGTGGGCCGTATGCTCGTCTGCCTACAAAGGCAATAAAAATATATATATATATATTTTTTTTTATTCCTGGATCAGCAGACATACAGTGGTCATATTGAACCCTGCCCAGGTTGGTACCACCACCATTTATATTTCTGTTGCGAAACTCTAATGTGTTTCAATTTGTAAGGTGGGTTGGCTGTTGTACTATAGAACTAATACTTGGAACATGTGCCAAGGTGGGTGGCGGCATTTACACTGTTGATGTCTATGGGCTCTGTTAATCACTTAACACCAGATGGGCCGTGAGCTCGTCCACCCATATAAGCAATAAAAAAGTAATGTCTATTAACTGCTAAATATTTAGTAAGATTAGATGATTAGCTAGATTATGTTAATTATACTAAATATTTAGAGCACCAATATTTTCTTGCAAACTGTTCTAATGTATGAATATTCTTATTAAAATATCAATATCGATTTTGTTATATATCGATTCTTTTTTGCATTTGCGACATCACTACCCTTAGGCGGGTTCTTTATGTTTCCAGATGAGTAAGTAGATTATATGTCAAAAGACTTCTTCAGCCGATAGACAGTGCGTGAGTTCTATCGCGTAGTTTTGAATTTGTTTCGCCAGTTTTTGTGAGGCCAACAACATATTTAGGTACTCAAGATTTTTATTTATTGCTTAGATGGGTGGACGACCTCACAGCCCACCTGGTGTTAAGTGGTTACTGGAGCCTCTAGACATTTACAACGTAAATGCGCCACCCACCTTGAGATATAAGTTCTAAGATCTCAGTATGATTACAACGACTGCCCCACCCTTCAAACCAAAACGCATTACTGCTTCACGGCAGAAATAGGCAGGGGGTGGTACCTACCCGCGCGGGCTCACAAGAGGTCCTACCACCAGTAAAAATGTGTGTCGTGATGAAAAGTCGTCGTGGCTTAACGGATAAGACGTCCGGTGCATTCGTGTTGAAGCGATGCACCGGTGTTCGAATCCCGCAGGCGGGTATCAATTTTTCTAATGAAATACGTACTCAACAAATGTTCACGATTGACTTCCGCGGTGAAGGAATAACATCGTGTAATAAAAATGAAACCCGCAAAATTATAATTTGCGTAATTACTGGTGGTAGGACCTCTTGTGAGTCCGCGCGGGTGGGTACCACCACCCTGCCTATTTCTGCCGTGAAGCAGTAATGCGTTTCGGTTTGAAGGGTGGGGCAGCCGTTGTAACTATACTTGAGACCTTAGAACTTGTATCTCAAGGTGNTTTTCTAATGAAATACGTACTCAACAAATGTTCACGATTGACTTCCACGGTGAAGGAATAACATCGTGTAATAAAAATGAAACCCGCAAAATTATAATTTGCGTAATTACTGGTGGTAGGACCTCTTGTGAGTCCGCGCGGGTGGGTACCAACACCCTGCCTATTTCTGCCGTGAAGCAGTAATGCGTTTCGGTTTGAAGGGTGGGGCAGCCGTTGTAACTATACTTGAGACCTTAGAACTTGTATCTCAAGGTGGGTGGCGCATTTACGTTGTGGACGTCTATGGGCTCCAGTAACCACTTAACACCAGGTGGGCTGTGAGCTCGTCCACCCATCTAAGCAATAAGAGTCGTATTAAAATTAGCGTTCTATTAAAATAACAATAGTTTCACTGTTTAATTGATAGTACTAATCGTCGTGTCATTAAAATGTCAATGTACCATTATAGGACGATCAGGTGAAGTGCCTTTATCTATTCACAAATACATTAATTAAATAGATAACATGATTACAAGTGTTATTCTAGGATGCTTGTATTAAATCCATTGAAACGGTCATTCATGCAATTTATGTCTCTATTTCATCTCACAATCAATGAACCTACGTACATAATACTGTGTTGTCGATAAATAATTCAGTAATATTTTTTTATTTGTTTACACTTGCAGGCCAATAATTTAGTCAAATAAAACTGTCCCTAATGAAAGCACTTTTTTTATTGCCCTTGTGGGCAGACAAGTATATGGCCAACCTGATGTAGAGTGGTTACCGTCGCCCATGGACTTCAGCAATGCCAGGGGCAGAGTCAAGCCGTTGCCTACCGATAGTACATACAATAATAAAAAATACAAATTAAGTCGTCATACCCTGTTGTATCTTGATCTCCTTTCGTAATTGTTTCCAAACTCCATAATGGCACTGATCGAGTTAAAACCCCGAACGCGTGCCGCGTGCAAGTATGTCAAAAAGCTAAAGATATCGCGATACACCAAAGTCTCAGGCTGGACAACGCGGCGACGGTACCAGCCTTCAACGTGACACCGCCCCCCTTACACTACTTTGAGTTGTAGAATATGGGTCACGCTTAATGCGATTCTTATGGTAATAAAATATAGGAATGCACCTTTGTTATTTATGAATTTTAATCCGTATTCAAAAACAAATAGAATCTCCATTTGTAAAGTGCAATATTTTTATGATAGCTGTTTCGATAACAACAATTTCATTAGTAAATCGGTACCATTTTAATGTATTTATCATCTTTAGGGATTATTTTTAATATTTTAATAGAAAGAACAACATACATAATAATAGCTATAACAAAACTACCTACTCACTGAGTTTCTCGACGGATCTTATAACGATTCTAATCCCGTGGTAGATTCAGCCAAGCACTACTCTTGCTGGGGCTAGTGTTAGCAAAATCTCTCAAAAAAAATTTAGCCCGTACCTCACCTACCCATCTGCGCGTAGCTGGAATAGCCCTTAGGCTACTAACGATTAGGTATGAGGGGATGAAAACAGACGACGTTGCCCCCTCATTTCTCGTGGTGCCTCCACGAGGATCTCTGATAAGTTATTATTGTGTATGTATTAATTGCACCTTGATGTACTTTCAATAAACAGACTGAATACGCTATGCGTTTAAGACTCTTACAATGAACTATCGGTTTTTATATATTTATATACGATATTATAGGTAGGTATACTCGATGCCGACATCTGCGGCCCGAGCCAGCCGCGAGTGCTGGGCGTCCGCGGAGAGCAGGTCCACAACTCCGGCTCGGGGTGGTCCCCTGTTGTAAGTACTTGAACTCCGACTTGTAACCCGTGTGTTTAACGAGAGTTAACGCTCTCGATTGCGTAAAAGTTAACGCAACTTTGTATGCAGTTGGAACAGCGCCCCTAGCGGCAAACGTAGCCAAATGTTCCAACTCTATTCAAATTTAAGTTAACTTTTACGTTATCGAGAACGTTAAAAAATTCGCACTAAGCACAGCTTTGGATTAACCTCTAGTAACTGTCGTAGATATAACGAGTACCTACCACTACTTTCACAAACTATAAAGAACGAGATCACATTTTAAGTAATTTATACCCATTTAGTCCTTTAAATGTTAATACTTAATTAATCACAATGGATCAACGGGATGTAATAGTTAGTAAGAAATAACCTGAATTCCTGTCACGCCAGTACGTTACGGATAACTTGTCGCTGATGTCGATCGGGTTCCTGTTGGGCAGTCCCGACGACGCCGTCATATGGAGGGGACCAAAGAAGAACGGTTAGTACTTATGGTAGTGATCATAATACTTCTTGTAATTGAACTATTTCATGGGCGGTTTATAGGTGTTGCGCTTCTTATGTTAGTAACTTATTGATCTCTTCATATCATCACTACATAGTATAAAACAAAGTCGCTTTCTCTATCCCTATATCCCTATGTATGCTTAAATCTTTAAAACTACGCAACGGATTTTGGTGCGGTTTTTTTTTTTAGATAGAGTGATTGAAGAGGAAGGTTTATAAAATATGTTTAATAACATCCATTAAATAGTGGAGAAATCAATAATAAATGACAGTTTCCGAAGCGAAGCGAGGGCGGGGCGCTAGTAAATAATATATTACACTAATAAATTCGTTAATCTGTATTTTATTCTCCTTGCTCGAGAGCAAGCCCTGCGATATTTTAGAAATCGTCGCACCTAAGGCAATGCTTCCCAATCTTTTTCTTTCCCGTACCCATTAGTTAAACTTCCGATTTATAAATATATCCTACTAAGAACTCCATACCTGCACCTAAAAATGCTTCTTGTCTCTCTTAATCAGTCGTTCGGTTTCTATCAAGTAAATTATAAGGTTCATTTTAAACCACATGAAGCAGACGTAATACATTATAATACTGAATGTTAATATGCGTATTTCTGTCATTACCAAAATAATTTTCATGTACCCCAATGGACCCTGCTCACCCCCAGGGGAACGTGTATCACAAGTTGCGAATCGCTGGTCTAGAAGATAAGACTTTCGGTGTATCTATCTAGTAATGTGACCGTATTGGCGTTTGAATCCCGCACGTTGGTACTAATGTTTTAAGGCAATTCGTACTGAAATGAAATCGTTGTGTTTATGTAGAGAACAGATATTCTTAGCACGTTGGTGTAGGTCACCGGTGCCCTACGCGGCGCACTGAAGTAAGTATTCCGATTTCTCTCTTTGTTCTTCTTACTAAGGCGCCGGAATATATAGTAGACTCTGGGAAAGACGAATCCGAACGATACTGACAATGAATCTATTTCTAACAGACCTAAAAGACTAAAACATACATTATCAAACAAAAGAAAGCGAGGCTAGGCAATCCAGGCGCTTAGTAACAGAAATCGACATAATTACTTCAGTGCGCCGCATAGGGCACCGGTGACCTACACAGCAGTGAATGTGTTAAGAAACTATGATGCTTCTTGTTGATACTTCAGAACTATAAACATTCTGATATCTCGGACCATCAACATTTGATTCGTGTAAAAATCACTGCACAGGTATGATCAAGCAGTTCCTGAGCGAAGTGGACTGGGGAGACTTGGACTACTTGCTCATAGATACGCCTCCCGGTAAGACTAACTCTAAACAACATAACATAATATAAGTAAATTATATAACGTAACTCCTCCTCTTTGCGTGGTGTTCCTCAGTGCCTGGTCGGAACCTTTGTGGGGAGCACTTTTGTTAGGACTCTGTTCCTCCATTCCTTCTTGTCTTTGCGCAGTGGATGGCGACATTGATGCTGGAATCCAATATCGTCTAAATATAGCCCAATAACGTAATTAAACATTATAATTTGATCGTTTAAACCAGGGGCTCCTACACTTATTTTGTCTACTGCCCACTTTGAGAATAAATTCTTTTTTAGCACCCCCCTTTTATCACCTATTAAAAAACCACTATAGCGAGAGCTCAGTCGGTGTCTAAGAATCCTCCTAGATGAAATTACAAATCGCCTTCCAAGCCTCTACACAACACCCCTATTTTTTTTCTGGGTCTCTTACCGCCCCCCTTTAGGCCTGTAGAGCCGACAAGGGGGCGTTATCGCCCACTTTGGGAAAGGCTGGATTAAATTATACGGTTGCGGTCAGGTACGTCGGACGAACACCTGTCCGCGGTGCAGTACCTGGCGCAGGCGCAGGTGTCGGGCGCGCTGCTGGTCACCACGCCGCAGGAACTCTCGCTGCTCGACGTTCGCAAAGAGATTGACTTCTGTCGCAAAGTCGGGCTCAGGGTGCTCGGGGTCGTCGAGAACATGTCGCTGTTCGTGTGCCCCAACTGCAAGGTGAGCCACCGAGTCGAAGGTGGGGTGCTGTAGGCGGTGCGTCTTGTGGCTGGTCGTGTACGGGTGTGCGTTGCAGAGTCGCAGCGAGATCTTCCCGGCGACGTCTGGCGGGGCGGCCGCCATGTGCCGCGAGCTGCGCGTGCCGCTGCTGGGCGCGCTGCCGCTCGAGCCGCGACTGGCGCGCGCCTGCGACTCCGGCGAGCTGCCGCTGTCCGCGCCCGCCGCCGCCGCGCCCGCCGCCAACACGCACGACGCGCTGCGAGAGATCCTCGACAGTGAGTTCGCTGTGTTAAACTTACGTAGTATAATGTTCATAATAATTTAGAAGAAAAAAACAACATAATCATTTATTCATAAAATAGATTAATTTAATTGACTTCTGTACTTTTTCGCCAACTAAAGTACAATGTGAGGTTAGGAANATGTTCATAATAATTTAGAAGAAAAAAACAACATAATCATTTATTCATAAAATAGATTAATTTAATTGACTTCTGTACTTTTTCGCCAACTAAAGTACAATGTGAGGTTAGGAACCATATCCTAGAATGTACATTTTTATTGCTTTATAATTTTCTATCTCGCAATTAATCCAGACATTTATCTCGCTACATCAGTTGTAATGCAATCTTCCGTAAAAGCGTAGTGTTGATAATCCTTGACACAATAAAAATAAATAATAATTATTTTTTAGGTATAATATTTTCCACTGCACACAATTCAACTTGTTCAAAATTAAGCTGAGAAAAAAATTGATAATCTCAGGGGACACTTAACCAAGCACTTTCAAAGTGGTCGATATCCACCCCAGGGGTAAACGAAAACCGTTTTTGGGGGTCAACGGTAAAAATCGACGCTTAATAATTAACAAATCAATTTATATATGAAACTTTCAAGATGCGTGCACAAGCTCGTATCCTTCAGCTGTTAGGTGTTCGGAAGCGCTCAGTCCGCTGTTGCCAAGTCCCACCATTCCTGGCGGAGCCCGCGCTGGCCCCTTGTCCTGGTCACACTGTAAAAAACCTCCGGTAAAGACTTTTTAGCGGGAACGCGAGGAGTGAAGTTGTGTGATTTGTTTTATTTTGTCGATTTAGTGTTTCTTCGGGTTTAAATGTGTAATAATGGTGATTTATTAACTGTTTAATATCTGTGAAAGTGCACAAATGTGGGAAAATCAAACAAAGCCGCTGGACGTAACTTCTCGGGATCCTCCAAAAAGTCCACTGAAAAAATCTCAGTAAATGACCACCATTTTACTGATATTATATTTCATCCCATATCATCTCATTTCATTTAATGTCATCCCAGTTGATTAATGTCTCAAAATAATCATCTTCATTTCATTTCACTCCATATTATCATTTTTCATAAAATTAAGAATATAAATTAAAATAAGACATGACTTAAAGGTCTTAGGTAACAGGTCATAAAATCACTTAAAAAAAAAACCTCCGGTAAACCTTCGCTCCTCAAAATAACACCAAGTTCGTACAAGATGAAAAACTCGTCAGGTCAGATAAGATTTTTAAAGTCATTTCACCACGGGGAGCGAATTACTTTAAAACGAACGTATTGCTTCGCGCCAGGATGGCGCCACCCGTTCGTGAAGGTTCACAATACGTCCTACCACCAGTAAGTGCGGCTAGCGAGTGCGTCGTGCTGGTATAGAAGTATTCTGGAAATGTTGCTGATCACACTTACAGAGAGAGACGGGCTTGTGTAAATCTAAGCCACGCAAATATTCCGTTCGAGATTAATATCAATGTATTACTTTACTTTCCGACTTCGGGAAGGATCGCCGTGCATACCGGAACGTTTCTCGATATTAGGGTCATAAAGTCGGACATCGGTGACTGCAACTTTTCAAATTGTACTTAGGTAGCACGTACATAAGTACATACTAAAGCACGTACATACTAAAAAAAAAGAAAAACCACACCATACAACTGATTCGGTGCAAAGCGATTTCTGTAAAAAGTATCAAAAGCTATGGTTCTAATGTCGGGATTTAAGTCCACAAATCAAACTATTACTTCGGTATAGTCGAATCCTTATGCTGAGTACTGATGAATTACCAGTATGAGTTGATATCGCTATCCTGCCTATTTCTGTTACAAAACAATACATGGCCCCTGGTTTGGAGGGTAGGGCAGTCGTGGTACTTATTAAATCAAATCTCACTTAAAAGTGACCAGCAGCGTTTACCTTGTTGTGTCGCTTGTAAACACTGAAATCCAAGGCCTGTAGCCCATCTGCACATCTAACAGTAAAAAAGAATTTTTATATTAATAAATTAATTCTTCTTCTTCTTCCCAATCGTGTCACTTATGAGGGAGTGCTCTTAGTCGTCATGTAGTGTTGGAGGGGACAGACTTGAGGCGTCTCACGATGTTCCGCCGTCTCTCCCTGCTCCCTACCCGCTCCTTACAGGACTCAATTAGGGAACCTCCCAATGTATTTTTAATTTGGTCGGTCCACCTCACTGACGACCTCGTGCGGTCTTGTTAATTAACGTCTTTTTTTCAGAAATCGTAGCAGCCTGTGAGAACTCCTCGAACTAAGCAACAAAAGTAACTTGCGCTTAAGTTCCCGTTCGTTAAATTTGTTTCAAATACCATGGACCATATACCCAATTATAATAAAGTAAATATAAGTAGTTACTGTACATAATGTGTTCTTATTTATCCTAATTTAACGCTTAAATTTAACAATATTTTCTTCAGCATACGTCGCTTTACTTCACTTACACAACCATCATTGTTCGATATCAAGGCTCCAAGGTATATGAAGGATTGGACGACCTCGCAGTTGTTTGTAATCTGAGTGATATCTTGCAAGTTTGTTTTTGGCTCGGTCTGCAATCATCATTTTGGTTTTACTGCGGTTAAGCTTTAATCAAAACTCTTGACTTTTGCGCTCAATTTTGAGAAGTATATAATATAAGAACAGAAACATCACCAAGGTCCCGGCTCGTACGAACTCTTGTTATTCCCCTAATTTTGATACGCACGGTTTTATACGGTAGGACCTCTTGTGAGTGCGCGCGGGTAGGTGCCACGACTCTGCCTATTTCTGCCGTGAAGCAGTAATGCGTTTCGGTTTGAAGGTTGGGGCAGCCGTTGTAACTATACTTGAGACCTTAGAACTTATATCTCAAAGTGGGAGGCGCATTTACGTTTTATGTCTATGGGCTCCAGTAACCACTTAACACCAGGTGGGCTGTGAGCCCGTCCACCCATGTAAGCAATTAAAAAAAACGCTTGCGTCAAGTTGAAAAAAGATCGATGCTTTGGAGATGTGGTGCTGGAGACGAATGCTTGGTATTTTATGGACCGAGCTTCGCAACAATATCTTCACTCTTCAAGAACTCTGCATTAATCAGCGCCTTTAAGCGCTCGTACATAGGCGCATAGTATCATTTTTCGGACATGTCTCCCGGTGTGGAAATGACTCTAGAGGGTGCCTTTTCGTTCAGGGCAAAGTAGGAGCTACCAGACCACGGGGAGGGTTGCCTATGAGATTGTCCGTCAAGTTAATAAATGGCGGCTATTTACATGAATGTATCAAGCTCACCACAAACCTAAGAGAGGCGATTGCTCGTGAGGCGCATAGCATCTGCCCACAGTAATGATGCTGTTTGAAGACCACGGTCGCTCTGACAAGAGTGATACGACATACGAAAAATTATATTCGATAATTTAGTAGGTATTGAAGATTATTAAACCACCACCTTAGGCTGAAAATTTTACTATCGAGCGGCCGTAAACAATTTATAAAAAAGTCATAGGTCAACGTCAATGTCACGTGCCAAATTCTGCAAATTTATAAACATTTGACAATTTTGACATTTTAACTTGGCCCTAAAAAGAAAACATTCAGATTTTTTTTGAAAACTGATAAAATAAAATGTGGTACATGGATATTTAATTTGACAAATTATTCTGTCATATGTTAAAAGATATTACACTATTTTTATGCCAGGAAAATACTTCTCGGCAAGTTACGTTATTACACAACATAATTTGTATTTTTATGAGTATTTCTGCAATAAATAAGTACAAAAATGCCTCCACACCACGAGGAAGAAGAAGATAAACCTTGTAGAGCATGTTCGGATTTCAAAACTTGGGCGAAACTACAAAACAAAGGTTCAAAAACCGCGCCGACCAAACCGGTGAGGTTAAGTTGCAACAGCTATGAAAACATTAATCAATTATAATTTAAAAAAATTTGCTTAATTGCAAATATACACATAGTGGTTGCGATTTTTTTAATATTCATAAGCATTGAAATTTTCTGTTCAACTTCAAATTTCTCAATCCTAACATTACAGCCTCCTCCTCAATCAAAGGAATGCCCTCTAGATAAAGAAGAATTAGGCAAATCTACATGGGGTTTCCTCCACTCGATGGCTTCATATTTTCCTGACAAGCCAACTAAATTACAATCGGAAAATATGTCACGATTCTTTAATATTTTTGCCCAATTCTATCCATGTGAACCATGTTCTTTGGACTTTCTGGATGAGTAAGCATTTTATTTCTGTACTAATAATAATAAAAAAAATATCTTTCAGTTCAACTTCTTTCAAGATTATAAGGAAATATTTAAAAAAAAATTTGATCTGTTACTATTCATTTACATAAATTTAAATACAGCTGCTTTAAAATTGTTATTGCTAGATAATTTGGTATTCTTAATTTTTACGAGGCAAGATATGACAGGATTTTTTACATATTACATTTATTTAAGTTCTTATCAAAATGTAACTAATAATGAATTATTTTAAAAGAGAAATAATGTTCCATTATAATGTGGTTTTCAATATAAAACAAACTCAAAATAAAAAATTATGGATTACAAAGACTTTTTTCTCTAGTTCAATAAAAAGTTATGAACATTTTTATGTCAGTTTCAGAATCAATCAACAATAGCTTGGCATATTGTATTGTATAAGTTATTTATAGTATTTCTAGTTGGCTAACTTACCTAGGTGCTCATTTTGGGTAGACATCTTTAATGTACAAATTTTAAAAACAAGTTTTAACTAATAGACTTGGCTTTTTTTTTAATAATCTGATTTAGCTAATCCACAATTATTTGTTGAAATTGCTATAATTGTTATAAAATTAACTTTAAAATAACCTGGCTATCTACCTTGGTAACTTAATCTTTTTTACCAGTAAATAATTTTTCCTAATTTTCAGCATACAAAAGAACCCACCAAAGACAAAATCAAGGGATGAACTAGCAAAATGGCTCTGTGAGAGACACAATACTGTGAATGTAAAACTTGGAAAACCATTATTTGACTGTAGCAAAATTCACGAGAGGTGGAGAGATGGGTGGAAAGATGGCTCCTGTGATTAATAATAAATTAGGATAAAACTAGTATTTACTGACTTGGGGAACAAATATTAATTTTGCCCTCAAGTTGAATATAAGGAAACGTCATTAGCATTTCTGTAGTAAAAAAGAAAGTCTTGAATTTTTTTAGATTTGTTCATTCAAATAATACTGTTTATTACTGTGGAGAAATACATGTTCATCTGGTAGTTAGTGAGATTATTTCAATGTTAAGATGTTTTTGTGATGTTTATAGTGAATTTTTACATTTTAATAAAAATGAAATATTTATTTGTAAAATACATTTTTGTTCTGGTTTATTGGTATTTAATATAAAAAAACCTTCGTTATTCAATATAATATAATTATAAGGCTTGTATCCTACACTTCTACTTTCACCACTGTAAGGCACAATTCCCTCATAAATTTTAGTAATGCAACATAGTCAAATTGCAACAAGGTTATATAGCTATATATAAATTCTTATTGAAGACCACTAATATCTGTTACAGTATAATTAATGCAAAAAGTGAAAAATACAAAAATGATATCTATGTTAAAAGCCACTGTATAAAATTCAATTATAAATTCACAAACTAGCATATTGAAAAATGAGCTACACAGCCACCAGCCGTATTCTGCTTCCCTTTTGTCCACCTGATTGCTGGATGCCTCGAGGGGCCATTCCAGCTTCACCGGTTTGGTGGGTGAGTTTACAGAACTTGCTAACACTAGCCTTAGCAAGATGCCTTTGCTGAATCTACCACCCGATCCCAATCGTGACTCACTGGGAAGATCTGCCGAGAAATTTTGTACTGTCTGTTAAGTTGTACGTTAAGCCCTTCGTCACATTCCACGAGAATGGTGACAGCAGCTTGGGGTGCTAAAAATCACCAAGAGTGTTGTATACAGTGAACTCAAAGCCAAATAGTGGGGCTGTAAATTCAAACAAGGTATTTTATTTTTTATTTATTTCATTTACTTTAGATTTTGCATCCATTCTATTCCATATTACATTCATTAACATTTAATATTATAGTATACCAAAATTAAATAAAAATTTATTTATTTAATTATATATTTATAAATGTGATGTATTTGGTTTAATAAATGAAAATCAATTTGGTTTTATTACATATTTATTAAAGAAGAAGAGAGAAACGGGTTTTACCACATCTCATGCAATAAAATTATTTAATTATTAGTTAGCCAGTTATTTAATTTAAACATGACGTGTCTAATGCTCTTCCCCCAATACATCTATAATGTGTGCCAACTGAGAAGACATACCTTACTTTACATTTACAAAAAAAACAAAAAACAAGCCAAGATTTCAAACCTGTGACCTCCACTGAAGTAGGAAACCTATGGAAATGAAACGTCAACAAAAAATTCGTGCCACTGTGACGTCATCTGGCCACAAAACATGGCGGTTTTAGTGCTGCCCAGAAAATTTTAATGTTAGTAGGTTTTATCGATAAACGTTCTTGGCTCATTTTATTTTAAATATTGTTGAGTGAACGTATTTGTAGAATTTATACTTTAATAGGAAGTAAGTATATTGTTATGTGCAAAGATGATGTGATTTAGATATTATGTGAAATCTAAGACGAGTTCGTGCTTCAAATTTACCAAGTAAACGATATGACGATTTTTAAAATTTGCTACACTGATTTTATAAAGTTGTCGTTTGCCGCAAAACATAAAGATATGGCGTAGTACAGTGCCATCTGCCCATTTCTAGCATGCTGAATGTTATCGTATTTTGAGTACGTGTTTTTCTTAGACTATTACAATCTATTTTAATTGTTTTGCTGACTCTAAAGTCCGTAACACACTACCGCAGCGCACCTCAAGGAAGGTACGCCGCACCATTTGAATCACTCTCACTTGAGAGTGATTCAAATTTTAAACTTATCAAGGGACCGCCTGATAAAAAAAACACCTACAGAACATTTATTCGTTAATAAAATTACAAACATTCCTTGTGACTTCCTCTCTAAAATCACTTAATTATTAAATATTTAACGAGTTGACAATAGTGTTATAAAACTATTTTATTTAAATAGTTCCGACGACTTTCTTGAGATCCTATAAAATATGTTTTAATTATTATTTTTGTATGTTTTAAGCATGATAAAATAAGAAATTTTATATAAGCAATCATATTAAATCGATATCAAAGTCAATAAATAATGTACAACCCAAAACAGACGGCCGAACTGACGTGACAATGACATTTGGCGCGCTAAACATGGCGGATTTTCGGCCTCATTAGACGGAGACGGAGACATTTACGTATATTCATGTTTCATTTTATGTACGCACTGAAATACTGTTATATTGTTTTCCTGCGAGTTAAAGTGGTGAGTAAGAACGAGATAGATATATGTTTATGTATGTGCCTTCAAAATGGGTGCTATTTATATAAGCAATTGTACGTATAGAACAATATGTCGTGTCCCTACTATATAGGTCTATGGTGACCTCTCACAGGCAGGTGTACAAGAAACAGTGAGTTTTAATATTAATGTTACATTATGAGATGCCACATGTCACTTGTCATGTTCACTTATCTTCAGATGTTAAATTTCACATAGATAACATTCTAATGAAACTGTGAGTAGAGTTCACACTGACTTTCTCAGTGTCCTGCAGTCTTGGAGTGACTGCTATTTGGACTGTTCTCATAAGAACTCCATCTCTCTCTCGATGCCTACGAATTTCAATTGCTCAGTAGGTCCATATCTGAAAGGAAAAATCCATTAGTTCAAATTACAATACAATAATCGAATGAATTTGTAAATAGCCCTAACAAGGTAGTCAGCGGGGTGTGCTGCAGCTCTGTTTTGTTTTATTACTCTCCAAAATAAATCATGTCTTCAGATTGGAGGGACAGTCAACCTGTCATGAATCAATATTTAGACCTTATGTCCCGAAGTAGAGGGTGGCAACATATTATGCTGATCAGTATTTATCATTGAAGATCGGGCGCGTCACGGGCCAACACATAGCCTTCTTTGATGACGACATCACACCAAGAGTAGCGCAGGCACTCGTGCAAGAGCCTCCAGAAGTTGTAGGCGGTGCCCAGTCTGTGACATCACTGGTTACAAATATTGTACTAAGCTGACAATGTAGACTATCTCATGTATTTAGCTAATCATTCATAAAGTCCACCATATTCTCACCTATAATCAAAGAACAGTTCTTCTCCAGGCTGGATCGCACGTTTGGCGAAGATACCAATGCGATGGTCACCATTCACCATCATGACCTTCGCATAACAGTTCGGGTTGATCGAGTGGTTCGCGAAACGAATCTTGTTACCCTTACGTGTCGCATCCACGACGAAATCTGAAATTTTATAATAAAATACATGAATAATTTAGAACTAATTTTCGTGAACATTTATTCCTAATTTATTATCCCTACCAAGTGTTTGGTAGTCTCGCGGGACTATCCTGATTTCACCGGGCTGCGGGTGCGCTAACGGCACTCGGCCTGAGAGGATTACTGTGTTAGTAAGAGCAGTGTTTCGGAATCGCCACTAGATGTTGTTGTGTCTGTGGACCAGGTCGCACCGGGGCTCGGAGCCTACCAACACCGAGACTGCAGATTCCAAACATGATGGTACTGACCGTTGTTGAGGTTGAAGAGGAAGGAGCACATGTACTTGTCGTAGACCTTCCCGCGGCGGTCGGCCTCGTCCTGCGATATGATCTCCCCGCAGTACTCGGAGATGAACTCGTTCTTGTGCGCGGCTTCCTTGAGGAAGATCCCCCAGCCCGCCACGTCGCTGGGAGCCAGCAGCAGGTGCTTGTGCAGGCCTCTGCAAGGGCGAGCACGTTACTGCAGGGGTGGGTGTGGGTGGGGGTGGGGGTGGGGGTGGCGTTGTGCACAGTAAGGACGGGGTACCTCTGCACGGACACGTTCTTGCAGTAGACGGGCGCGGCGTGCAGCGGGGAGGCGTCGGCGCCGCACGCGGTGCAGAGGTCGGGGTCGCACTCGCGCACGCCGAGGTAGCACGGGCACTGCTTCGTGTTGCACTGCGCCTTGCAGCGGCACCCCGGGAACCGGTTCTGACCTGCGAACGAGCCGGCCGTGCACGGGGCTTACTCACCCTGCCTAGTTCTGCCGTGGGGCAGCTGTTGCAACTATACTGAGACCTTGGAACTCATATCTTAAGGTGGGTGGTGGCATTTACGTTTTAAATGTCTATGAGCTTCAGTAACCACTTAACACACCTGTAAACTCGACTACCCATCTAAGCAATAAATAAAAAAGAGTGGTCCGCGCGGCTCGGTGACAGCGCGGGGTACTCACAGTCGCTGCTGCACTGACAGAACTTCTCGCAGAAGTTCTGCGACTGCAGGCACGGGCACAGGCTGTCGCACGGCTGGCTGGGGTGGTCGCACGGCGTGTAGTTGTACCTGCAACCACGTGCTTACTGCTCTTACATCTACAGCTATTATGTTACTTTTAGTTTATTTAACATTAAACAAATTTGCATCATATACTGATGCTCTGTACCGTGTGGTATGTTGCGTTTCGCGCCCTACTACTCGGTGTGCGGGCAACTAGTCGCAAGGCACACTAGCAGGGCGCCCGAACGTGGGTGGGAACTTACAATACTTTTTTTATTGTGCAAATTTTATTTTTTTATTTGTAAAATGAAACTTTGCAATGTGTCCGTTATTACTACATTACAGAGGTGCGAAAACCTTTCTCGACTACGACACCTCCAGTAGAGAGAAAACATTTGGCGACCTTTGGATAGGGAGGGCAGTGGTATATCGCGAGCTGCTACATCGACCGAAAACTTAAAAAAAAGACGCCCTCTAGTTTGCGAACCACTGCTACAGTACCTAAATTTGGAAATATCGTTAATTTATTTCTATATTTAAAACGATGTAAACAGTTGGCGGCACGTACACGTGGTGCGAGGCAGAGTCCTTCTTGAGTTGTATCTTGCGGCAGTGCACGGACCACAGCCGGTGCTTCTTCTTCTTCTTGCGCGGCGGCGTGAGGTCCACGGCCGCGCCCGGCTCCTGGCCGCCGCCGCGCTGCCGCCGCCACCACACCTGCTGGCACGTCTTGGACAGCATGAGCTGGGCCTGCGCGCAGTAGTTGTGCGGGAACACCTTGTGCAGCGCGCGGTGCAGCGACACGTCCGACCCCGTCCACTCCGCCGCGCCCAGCGACAGCCCTGCGCACAACCGTCACGTCACTCCGCGCCGCGACACGCCACGCCACGCCACGCCGCGCCACGCCGCGCCCCGCCCCGCCCCGCCCCGCCCCGCCCGCACTCACCCAGCGCGCTGTAGGCGGGCTCGGCCGGCGACTCCGCGTGCTGCTTGTGTCCGCCCGCGCCCCACGCGCCGCCGCCGGAGTTGCTGTGGCTGCCTGCACATTGTCAAGTGAACAATTTTAGAATAAGGAGAATTCATTTAACATAAATAATTCACGTGTTAATCAAGCATATAGATGTCTATCTCTTCTTTTTGCGCGCTGTAATAGTTTAATCTCTCTGTCTCTCTATCTCTGTACCACCGGCTTTGGCTGGTCTCCCGGATATGGCTGACATCCATAATCGACAGTAACCTCTTACCAGCAGATGAGCAGCATGCTCGGCTGTTTACGACGGCAATAAAAAATTGGACAGCCACTAAAAATATCGTTAGTGTGTACCCTTGTGGAAGCGGTTGCTGTCGTTGCTGTCCTCGGAGGAGGCGTCGTTGGGCGAGTCGTGTCCGCCGGCCGCCTGCTCGCGCGCCAGCCGCTCGCGCATCCCGTCCTGCCACACACCATTGTATACGAAAACTTATAAAGTAAAGGATTCATTTAACTAGAAGACAAATATTTTATATTAGCTTTTGGATTACATCGTCTTCACGCATGGACCATGTGTGTGTATTTTTAATTTTATTCTCAAGATGGTGTTTTGTCCACATTCTAACTTCCATTTTCTCCTTTCCATTTTAATATAGATTTTATCCTTCAAAGATAAGATTCTAATGTTGACGTTTACTGGACATTTTAGCGACACTATTTTCATCAGACATGTGATAGTTTTTGAGGCTATGCTGATGTCGGCGTCTGTCCTCTACCGACACTCAGCCGAGGCGACGGCGCCGGGAGAGGCAAACTTCATAAAGTTGTGAACTAATCTTCGCCAATTAAAAAAAGTTTTATATTTCTTGAATTTGTGTGCTAGATCTAGTTAAAAGTTAGATAATATAGTGTCACCAGCAGCATGTAGCAGTTGGGCCCGCACGGCTCGGAGAAGGGCTTGAGGTCGGGTCCCTTGCGCTTCGACAGGTTGGGCCGCGGATGGCACGCTTGTAGTCCTACGGGTTTACGCGAACACAGCGATTAAAGGAATACTAAGGCCTTGTGCGCGGGCCAAGTGTCGGTTACTTAGCAAAAGCAGTGGTCAATTTGGTTCTGTATGAACATGTCAGCGTCCATAGCGGCAAGAGCGCGAGCCCGCCGTGGCCTGTAGAACGCTCGTTGACAATAACAAAGTGATTGAAAAAGATTCGACTCTGGAACGCCCAATCCGGCGTTCTGGGAGTGCTGAAAAGCCTTCAACAGTAGCGAAATGCCGAGTTGTGCCCTTGGCATGGCTGATGTCCATGAGCAACCGTGATCACTCACCGTCAAGTTGACCACAAGCTCGCCTGCCTTCCAAGGTTATAAAAAGCGGTGGCATTGAATAACACTATTGGTATGAGAATGACATGATGGATGTTGTTTAGTTAGGTAGCGCAGTAAGCTGCTATCAACTTTAATATTTAATTAATAAGCCTTCTCAATATTATACACCCCTTTGTGACACAGGTACGACCACGACAGTTTTTAAGATTGTGGCCAAATTCATTTGCAATATGTGGAAAATTATAAAGTATATATTTGTTACTTTAGTTTCATTTTATTTTTCTTAAACTGAAATTGTTGGCAGCTTACGATATATAAGATATAATAAAAAAAATCTACCCATACAATGAATCATGAATTAACAATAATAACTTGATACGGTAAACAAAGTTCATAAATAAAACAAGATATGCAAGCCGTTAATAAATTTAGGTACACATATGTGAAGTTAATGAAGAACAACATAGTGTATGTGATCAGCGGTCGAAGGCGACTGCGAGCTACGGGCCGATAGGACGGTACGGTATGGATACAGAACCACACGAGACGCCGGGAATAGTGTGTTTTTATTGAATGTACGTTTATCAGAAATATAATATGACACAATCAAGAACGAAATGCATGTCATATAAAAATGTTACAATTGATTACATTAGATATTGCCGGGTATTTTGGTCAAAGGTAATTAAATAACACAAAATGTTAAGTCGAAGCGTTTGCCCAGACCAGCAACAATGTCGGCCAACAGTAGGGCAAGACCCGGGCGCGGGCGCGTGGCTCGCGGTGCAAACAAGGCAAGGATCATATTTAAAATGTAGTGAAACATGCTCGCTTCCAGTTACAAAATTAGCAGTCAATATTTGTACTTTGTTCTATTAAAAAAAAAAACACATAGCCAAGACAAATGATAAGGTTTTTTGTTAGTAACAGTTGCTGAGACGAAACGTGCAACTAAACTGCAAAATATAATAACGAAGGTAAACATGACGAATGCGCCGGGCGCCTCACCTGCCGCCTGACCTCCTGTCAGCCAAACAGATAAAGACTAGAGTCAGCCCCGTCGTTACAACAACTTATGTTATCGTTCACTTAGCATCTATGACTGCAGCTCCTACACTAGAACTGTTCATCACATTGGCATCCAGACGTCTGCGGCCCTTACCGAATCAATAATGATTCTCGTGTTTTGTAAGGGGTTATTGAAGTTATTTTTTTAAGTTAAAGCCTAAGTATGCAGTCGAGTTATGTTTACGGATAGTTTGAGCGGTGGAGTACTCACGGTGCAGGAAGCAGTCGTACTTGAAGCAGCGTCGACAGAAGAGCGCGTGGAAGGAGTGCATGGTCTGGTCGCGCGGCACGGGCTCGGCGAGCGGCCCGTCCACGTTGGGCGTGCACTCGGGCGGCGGACACAGCGGGTCGCCCGACATGGTCAGCGACTGGTACCTGCACCGACACGTCACCGCCTGTACTCTGTTCGCGTCAGCTGTACTCTGTTCGCGTCAGCTGTACTCTGTACGCGTCAGCTGTACTCTGTACGCGTCAGCTGTACTCTGTACGCGTCAGCTGTACGCCTGTCTAGTACATATCAATGGACTTTTTGGCGGGAACGCTAAGTTGTGTTTGTTTGTTTTATTTTGTCTATTTAAGGTTTTGTTAAGTTTACATGGCTAATAACAATAGTTTATAAACTATTTAGAGTGCACAAAAGTGGGAAATCGAAACAAAGCCGCTGGACGTAACTTCTCGGAATCCTCCAAAAAGTCCACTGAAAAAATCTCAGTAAATGATCACCATTTTACTGAGATTATATTTCATCCCTTATCATTTCATCTCATTTCATTTAATTTCATCCCAGTTGATTAATGATTCAAATTCATCATCTTCATTTCATTTCAATTCATTTCACTCCATATTATCATTTTATCATCATAAAAATAAGAATTTAAATTAAAATAAGACATGACTTAAAGGTCTTAGTTACCAGGTCATAAAATCCCTTAAAAAAATACATATCAATGTTGCCAATCTATTTTATCTTTTTATGTGGCAATACTGACATTTACAAGATGATGAAGTATTACGGTTAGCTTTTGTTTCTAAATTTCATTTTATGTCTTTTGTATTGTAGTCCTGGTGGTTCTTGATATATTTAAGGTACATACAGGGTAGCAGTATTCATATATAAATATATTAAACAATCGGATTTACTACTTGATATTAACAACAGGTGGATGTGTACCAATACATACCATATATTGTTCCCATTCATTATGTTTCCTTTATGATAAACGTTAATATATGAATGTCTGATTTATCTGTTTACTTTCTACTCATTTGTAATGTTAATGGTAGAAACTTCTTTCATATTTGTTTCCCTAATTTCAACATATGGATATTTTGATTTCCAAAATAAATAAATATACAGAATATTGCATAAAAGAAGAAAGATAATATTACTATTTATTGGAAATTGTGATAGATGATGTGATGTAACAGTTTGTGCATTGATGTCTATTGGTAATCCAAATTTCGAAAATTCTGCGGCGTTTAAGAACGCACCTTTTTTATGATACGTGAGCTGGAACGCACGACAGGTTGAAAAAAAAAGATCTGATGATATCTGTGACATCACGATATTTTGCCGCCAAATAACACAAAGAAATAAAAAAGTGTTTTAACAGTGTAAACCGCTACAAAAATAAAGCTCTTATTGTTTCGATTGTTGTTTTTTTTTTATGATTGAAGGATTACTGGTGGCCCGGAGGCTTTTCCAGTTTCACCAGGACAGGTGGGCGAGCAAAGGCTCAGCCAGGAGAGGTGGGATTTGCTAACAGCTACCTAACAGCCTACAGACCTAACAGCTCAAGAGCAGCTGCTGCGCGAATGAATCTACTACCGGATCGGAATCGCGACCCGCTGAGAAGATCCGGCGAGAAACTCAGCGAGCTGATTCATGGGTTAGGTTGCACGGCGAACTCTTTGTCGAGTTCGACGAGTACGGTTACCGGGGTCCCTAAGCCTGCTCCTAGTGTTAGAGCTGAAGGCGTCTTATGTAAAGGTTATTGGATCTGATGGATCCGTAAGGACGTGTCTAGGGCGTCGACGGTGACTGGCTCCTGCGTGATCAGGATTCGGGGAGTAGTCAGCGGCGGCAACGATAAGGCGATTATCATGACGCATAGCCTTATCGAAGTACCGTTCCGACGCTGCCTTCATGTATTTCTGGATAGTTCGATTGTTGTGTTAATTACAAGTTGATCCACAAACGCGACTTACACGTAAAATAAATAAGGGACCCTATTCGGAGCCCCTCAGTTCTATTTTATCAGTTTTAAATTTCTGTACTGTTTGTATTTTATATGACCGTGACTTTTTATTTTTATGTTCGTGTGATGAGTATAGCCTACAATGAGATATGTTATATGCCTAACTAATATATTTGTTTTCGATATTTGTAATCTCCAGCACCAGCTTGATAAAAACAGATTAATAAATAAACATATTGATCATTGTTCTCACCAGTATATCATTTTGTTAATGACTAAAGCCCAAAGCCCAGAAGTGAGGACACATGATGGGCTGTTTATTCTAAATTACAGTACATTACTACAGGTTGGGACTTACTTCTCTCTTAACTCCTGAGCTGTTCCTTTGTCAGGAAACTGCAAGCTGATCGCCTGGAATATGGTGAAAATCGGAAACTGTTTCTCAACTGCTGTCTTCTTTTCCTCTGGGAGATCTTCTTTGCTTTTGTCATCTTTGTCTTTGCTGCTTTCTTTCTGTATTTGTAATATGAATTCTGTTTTATCTCTAATTCAAGTAAAATTATTCAGTCACATTATCACATATAATTGTTGTTTTTTCGTACTTAATGTTTAGGGTCAGCATTATCAGTTGTGAAATAGACACAGTGATTGTGGATAAATAAAATCAAAATGGCAAAAACCTATCTAGAAAAGATATACCTCTACATCTTCTTTAGAATTTCTTGACTCTCTTTCTCGTTTCTCTTCATTGACATCATCTTTAGTCTGGTAAGTCATCAATGCATGCACCAGATCAACAAATAGCTGGTCATCTATGAAGCCCCCCTCTTTATCACCTAGTGAACAAAAATTTCTGTATAATTTCATTTTTGTGCCAGTAATTTAAGTTTACCAGTAAGAAATATCTTTAAGAAGAAGTGATTTTACAATAGTCTAACTGAAAATAGAATTTCTATCCAAATATTTAATTTTAACATCTTCATTATTCCACTTAATTAGTACATTTTTATGACTACTTAATAACCAATAAATTTTTTACTCTCACACAATTAATTAGCAGATGCAAATGTAATTCATGAGTATTAAGCATGATCATATTGTTTTTTTTTAAATCCCTTAATTACTAGTTTGATTGTAAAAGCAGCATGTTGAAGTGAATTTCTGTTGTGTGTAAAGCATTATCTAATTATTATATTATCTGTTGAGGCTTCTGCACAGGAATAAGCATGGATGTGTGCCACACACCAATGTTTGTGGACAGAGCCAATAGTTTAAGCTACTATCATTTATGAACAAAGTTTTCATTCATAACTTTTACATACTATGTAATTATTTATTTATTTATTTATTTATAACTTCTTATACTAGAAAGTATAAAGGCGGACTTAATGCCATAGGCATTCTCTAACAGTCTACCTTAGGGGAATGCAGAGATGAAGTTAGTAAATAGTAATAATAAATAATAAACATAATTAGTTACTGATCGAAGGTTAATTAAAAAAATATTAGAAGTTTGGTCGTGACCATAGCCAACGCTACTCAGTATGAATATGAAAGAACATACAATGTGTAATGTTACAAAAAAGACCGAAAAAGTTAAGTAAACAGTAAAGTTATACTTGAAATATCGATAAAGCCCCAAAAATTAAGTGATTTTAATGTTTTGTGTACTACAGGAGTGAATTAATAACAAGATACTTTATTAAAGTGTTGACTTAATTAAAAAGAAGATTGCAACTAAAGAGAATATTATTAAGGTTTGTTTTTCAAAGAAGACATCTTTCTCACTATTTGTAATAAACAAAGATCATTTTTCAACAAAACTGGCCCAGTCCACATTTATAGTAATGACATGAAAGCCGATGTACCATGCACTTTCCCGTCGTAGTTCTTTATTAGCTCCTCGATGAATGTACCATCCTGATCCAGGACCTCGTCTCCCATGTATGGAATGTTGTGCAGAACGGTCTCATCTTCTACCATAAAATTTTTCTGTGTTGGAGCCCATGTATACATCGTCGGAATTGGATTCACAGAGTTGATTATTCTTATTGGTACCTGTTGGGTTGTCACTACACCTGAACCTGCAAAATATTTTAATTCAGTAAGTAGTAGGAAGTCCTCTAACCTGTTTACTCTCAATATGAAAAACTAAGCCTATGTCTTNTGCAGAACGGTCTCATCTTCTACCATAAAATTTTTCTGTGTTGGAGCCCATGTATACATCGTCGGAATTGGATTCACAGAGTTGATTATTCTTATTGGTACCTGTTGGGTTGTCACTACACCTGAACCTGCAAAATATTTTAATTCAGTAAGTAGTAGGAAGTCCTCTAACCTGTTTACTCTCAATATGAAAAACTAAGTCTATGTCTTTCAAGAAAAAAAAACCCGAAAAGGAACACCAATGGAATCAGCAGTTCAGAAGGGTTGAGTATTTTGGGTTGTACGTCAAAGTAAATGGGAATTAGAAACTTTTTTGTTATTAAGTTTAGTTCATTAGAGAAAAATGTTTTGAGTGCATAGAATAGTTAATTTTGTTGCTGATAACACTGCAACAAAATTTTGCAATTCTTAAAAAAACTACTTAGCAACTCTGGAACTTTTTTGTTTTTTTATATGGTGTACATTACTGCGATAAGGCTAAAACATTCTGTTTACAGTACAGGACAGTGGAACATATTTAGCAGTTCAACACTCTATCGGCCTTTTGTGGTTGAGCCTGCCACTAAATCAAGACAGGGCTCATCACACACACATTTTATTAAAACTCAAAAATGCAAAGAGGTTAGGAGTTTAATTAATCCCAGTGACAGAAACTGTTAAAAGCTAATAGTCTCTAACCAATTTATGGGCTATTGGTTGATAAGTGCTGACAGTAGAACTTGTGATTAATAAGACAGCAGTTGATAAGAATAGATAATAGAAAAGTCAATTAATAGGCTTGCAGTCAATATAGTCTATCCTAATTGATGTAGACAAGACTTGTAAGTAAGGTAAGATACAAATGATATTATTTTTTTAAATTATGGGTTGCAATTGCTTGTGGGCCTTTTAAATTATTTTCCTTCTGAAATTGGATTACGGAGTTGTGGTACACACCCTAAAATTTCAGAAATGCAAAACAATTTTAACAGCTAAGAGGATCACTGTTTCTTTGGTGGCTACAGGAAACCACGACGCGATGAAGCTACCCACCATAAAACAAAATACAGCGAGGATCCAATCATTAAAACCGGAACGCACGACTGCTTCGCATCATGAGGTAGCATGGTGGTACCCACTTGCGCGGATTTGCATTTAATGAACATTACATGGTTAAGTAAGGGCAAAGTTAAGATTTACCGTCTGTATAGGTAACTTCGGCCCTCTTCATAAGGCTCTCATGGCTCGATGTAGGCGCCGGCGGGGGCCAGAAGGGCCGTTTAGTACGATCCGTAGTTTCCGCCTCAGGCATCTCTATAGCTTCGGACATTATTTGCAAATTGCGCGCCCATGCTACTTTCACTTCATCAGCGCGTTTGAAACGCTAAAAAAAATTTACATTACATTCATATCCAGATTCATAAATCGTAAACTTCAATATTGTCATTCTGAGTTACCTTTACTTGTCGAAGCCGCATGTACTCTGACTTAACTCTCTTCTTCCATTCAGCTGATACTTTCGATTTACTCATTTTCAAAATATTTTAATTCGGCTATTCACATTTTACAAACTTACACCTTAGAGCTATACCCATAGACATATATTTTTTTTTGCGATTTTATGACCTGGTATTTATAACCTTTAAGACAAACCCATTGGCCATAGATAACATAAATATACACTTGATTAGGCTTCGATCAACACTATTTTTGATCGAAGTGTTTAGGTAATTCATTTATTTAGAATCATTTGTAATGGCTTTTTTTATGATGCTATGGCCTTGTAACCGAGATCGTTAAGCGAATACTTATATTTTATTCATAGGTTGAAAAAATTTGCAACATTTTTTTTTTTTCCTACCTATGCTGATAGCCTTGAGAGGCTATTTCAGCTTCGCCCTAACGTTTGTAGGTGAGCTCACGGGGCTCAAACCTGACTACGATGCTAACACGAACCCTGGCAAGAGTCGTGCTTCGCAGAATCTACCACCGGATCGGAAACGCGACCCACTGAGAAGATCCGGCGAGAAACTCAGTGGGCTGTATCTGAGAGTTAATTTACTCGTCGAGCCCTTCGTCGCAAGCGACGGGTTCGACCAGAACGGTGACCGGTGCCTAAAAGCACCGTTAGTGGATCGGGAGGATCCGAAATGACGTGTTTTGAGCGACGTCGACTGCTTTCCATTCTGTCCGCAGGATCGGGAATGTAGTTACCGGCGGCCACGATGAGAGGGTTCTCGTGTCGTGCCGCTTTATCGAAGTGGCGCATCGACACCGACTGAATACTTACTGATGGACTCTAAGTCCAGGTCGTCATGGAGGTCGACGTTCCTGACGAACCACGGGGCTCCGACGGCTATCCTGCAAAAATTTGCAACAACATGATTATTATGAGACTTTAATTAAATGGGATTGAATGTAATCCTCCAACGAAATAAGATGTGATAAAATTCGGTCGCAATAAAATGGTAGTTATTTACTGTAATTTATTCAGTATACTTTTTGGAAGAACCTGAGAAACCACGATCAGTGCCTTTGTTTAATTTTTGTATATTTTTGCACTTTTACAGATACTGAGCAGTTTTAAGCGTGAAGATACACTAAGTTAACAAAATAAAGCAATTCACACCACTTCAATCCCCCCCTTTCCTACTAAAACCACAGACGAATTTTGATCGAAGGTACGGTAAATGTCCCTGTATGAACCAATTCCGAAAAGTAGTTGGTGGCGACAAAGAGTTAACATGCTATGCTGCTCCAATTTAGCTATCTTTCTTTTAGTTTTATTTTCCGGATGCTTTTAGTTGTTATTGTATCAAATTAACATTACTATAATTCCATCTTACACGTACGTCTTAATCTCTTGCGGACGTAAAGTGTTTTTTTTTAAATAAATAAAAGCTAATAACACGTTTCTTTTAGCCACATAAAATATTATTTTAGTAGAGGGGAAGAGGCCGATCGAAGAAGACATGGATGGAGTGTGTGAATGACAATCCGAGAGTGAAAGGAGTAAGTGTTGAGCTGACGGCTGATAGAAGAGAATGGAAGAGAAAAATTAGCTGTGCCGACCCTACTTAGTGGGATAAGGTGAAGAAAAAGAAGAAGAAGAAATAAAATATTATTTTACTTTAGTCTTCATTTTACTTTCAAACATTATGTTTTGTTCTCGACAATAAGTAAGTGTTATATATAATTCATACTTTAAATATCCCGTCATAATCTGTTATTGGATTTTCTTAATACCAGAAGGCCGCTGAGTATCTCGCCACCGGTCTTTTTAGTGGTTTGCGAATTCGATCCGGTGGTAGATTCAGCGAAACACAGCTCCTGCTAGGGCAAATATTAGCAAAATTTTCTCAAGCTGATCCCCATGAGCTCACCCAGTGAAGTCAACATAGTTCCAAGATGGCAAAAAAAAACCAGGTAGGTTAATATTTTTTAAGGGATTTTATGACCTGGTAACTGAGACTTTTAAGTCATGTCTTATTTTAATTTATATTCATATTTTTATGAAAAATGATAAAGAGTGAAATGAAATGAAGACGACTAATTTGAGACATTAATCAACTGGGATGAAATTAAATGAAATGAAATGGGATGAAATATAATCTCAGTAAAATGGTGGTCATTTACTAAGATTTTTTCAGTGGACTTTTTGGGAGGATCCCGAGAAGTTACGTCCAGCGGCTTTGTTTCATTTTTCCACATTTGTGCACTTTCACAGATATTAAACAGTTAATAAACCACTATTATTACACATTTAAACCCGAAGAAACACTAAATAGACAAAATAAAACAAATCACACAACTTCACTCCTCGCGTTCCCGCCAAAAAGTCCCCAGGTAGGTTAATAATGTGAATAGACCCAGACTTGATCTGTGCATCGAAAATGTTCATAGTCTATCCCATAGATTATACACTTAATATATTTGAGAGTCTATCCATAGACGTTCCAAGTTTCCAACATATTGTCTATTCTCGTTTGTAAAGCGATTGTGTGGCTGCCATTTTCTATTGAAATAAATCCAAGAAACGGCTAAATAATAATAAGGTGAGCAATGTAAGAAAGGTATTAAATATTTTTCTACTATCATTTTATTTACTTTAAAGAAACGAATCGATTATCGACGTATTTGTCAAGCACTCCTCTTCAACATTACGTAATTTTTGTGTTGATCCTCGACAAAATAATTATTCCACGACACTCATTTGATATACGAAGATGTCTCCTGAATGGAGAGCAGAGCTGCTGTCTACACCGAAAAGTTATTCTGTTTGTAGGTGTGTCCGCACCTAAAAACTGCTGCAGGTTATGCGAGNAAACGAATCGATTATCGACGTATTTGTCAAGCACTCCTCTTCAACATTACGTAATTTTTGTGTTGATCCTCGACAAAATAATTATTCCACGACACTCATTTGATATACGAAGATGTCTCCTGAATGGAGAGCAGAGCTGCTGTCTACACCGAAAAGTTATTCTGTTTGTAGGTGTGTCCGCACCTAAAAACTGCTGCAGGTTATGCGAGGACAGTCATAGAATATGTCCTCGTATCGTGGCCCTTGGGACGGCGGGCCGCCAGGCGCCGAGGCAGAGTACGCGCAGCAGGGCCAGACGCCCGCCGCTCCGGCACCCGCGCCCTCAACCGATCCTTGGACGGGCGCCAGCTACGCACACTACGCCACTTCTTATGACTACGGAGCCTACGGCTACGCCTATCCCTATGATTCCACATATTATCAACCGCAAAGTTCGGATTCATACTACGGGAAGTACCTTGATACTAGAGGTTATTCTACGCGGCAAGATTATGAGTATTCTGCTCGCTCAACCGATCATCCTCGTTCACCAACTCGCGCGGACAGCTATCAGCGGCGGTCATCATACCGATCAAAATCGAGAAGTGGTTCTCCTTATCAACGTAGAGAGAGATCTTATTCTAGAAAAAGAGAAAGCTATGACAGTGATAGACATCATAGAACTAGAAGCAGTTCTACTCCAAAACGTAAAAAATATTCATCCAGTGACAGGTCTAGCTCCCGCTCTAATTCGTACTCTCGTTATAAACACAGAAGGGCCTCTAAATCTAGTGATTCTTCCACGTCTAAAAGATCTTACAAGAAAATATCATCTAAAAGTAGAGATAGGTCACTGACCCCAGATAGTCCAGCTAATAGAAGTTCTCCACATTCTCGAAATATGTCTAAAAGAAGTCGAACTCCTAGTAATAATCATTCAGTGTCTGTGTCTCCAAAGAAATTTACAGAAAAAACTAAATCAAGTAAAGACAAAGTTAAGTCCAGGAGTAGAAATATAGTTACTCCTCCTAAAAAGAAACAAAGATCACCCAAAAATCCCAGGAATGATAGATCTTCATTAACTCCACCCAATAGCTACAAAAGAACTGAAAGATCTGTGTCTCCTTGTAAAGATTATAAGCATACAGATAAGAAAGCCGATAAAAGAAGGAGAAAACGTTCCCATTCGTCTACTAAAAGTTATCGCAGTCATTCCTCTTCAACTTCGAAATCTCTATCTAGATCTTACTCACGTAGTCTTTCCAAAGAGAAAGCAGTCAGTTCACATGCTAGACGTTCAAAAAGTAGTTCAAGAAGTAATTCTCGTTCTCCTACATCAAACAGATCCACAACTAAACGAAAAATAAAAAAGTCTTCAAAGCACTCAAGGTCTAGAAGTAACTCTCGAAGACGTTCACCAAGTCAGAGTAAATCTAAATCACATCGTCGTTCCAGGTCTAAAGTAACTAAGAGATCTCGTAGTCCTCGACCTGACAAATCTAATTCACTATCCCGAAATGTCAGGTCTCGCAGCCGGCATGATGACTCTAGTGATGATGATCGTCGAGGGCAGTTCACAGTTGCAGATAGAAAAAGATTCTGGAAATTGCATAGAAGCAGACAAGAGGAAAGAGATAAAGATAAATCTCCACCTAAAGAGATCAAGCCCCCTCCTGGAGCTGTTGAATCCACACAAATTGATGATATTGAGTATGGTGATCCCCCTGAAGTGGAAGGCCCTAATTTTGCAGAATTACTGACACCTGTCGATCAAGCAATACCATCTGCCTCGACATCGAAAAAACAACTCCCAATACCTATAAAGAATGATGGGAGCTTCTTGGAAATGTTTAAAAAGATGCAAGAGGTTACAAAGAAAGCTGAAGAAGCAAAGAAACCTGAAATTAAGAAACCCACATTACCATTCATAGGAAAGAGACGGGGAGGCCGGGTGCTAAAGACCGGATTGGTAAAGAAGGCCAAGGCTATTGACGAACAGTGTGTAGACAACACTCCTAAAGATGCATGGTCCCTTTATATGCAAGAAGTTAAGAAGTACAGAGAAACGTCTTGTGAAGAGGAGCGCAAGACACGACCACTCGTCAAATAACATTGTAATCTCTTAGTTAAAATGTTGGTTTTATTGTGACCTTTGCAACATGTAATTATGCCTTATTACTTTTATTTACGTCTAATTCACGCTAGAGATAATATTCCTTAGATTTAATTAATTTCTTCATCTAATGTGGAACAGGATTTCTGAATAAAGAGTTAAGACAGTNGTGAAGAGGAGCGCAAGACACGACCACTCGTCAAATAACATTGTAATCTCTTAGTTAAAATGTTGGTTTTATTGTGACCTTTGCAACATGTAATTATGCCTTATTACTTTTATTTACGTCTAATTCACGCTAGAGATAATATTCCTTAGATTTAATTAATTTCTTCATCTAATGTGGAACAGGATTTCTGAATAAAGAGTTAAGACAGTTATTTTGTTTTGGTTTCTTTACAGCAATATGCCTGAGATGATCAAATCGCCCGCCGACCTCAAAACAGCACCTTTCGACCCACGGTTCCCTAACCAAAATCAGACGAGGTAATGTAAGAATTGTTTGTCTGTGGTTTGTTGAAAAGATATCGACAATTGTAAGCGAACTGCGCCAACTGTGCACAAGCCTACAAGTCTTATCAATTGTGATCATCATCAAACTTCAACAATGGGATAAAATATATTTTATAACACTGCACACTGGATATTGTTAGTATAAAAGAAATTTTAATTGACACTGGACAATGTTTCGAATGATAGCTTATAGTACAAATTTGTCATATTTATCAGACACTGTTTATTGATTGTTGTCTCGTGGCCCAAACGATACGACACCTGTACTTTTATGGAGCGATGTGGCTAGGTTCAAATTTTGCAGACAGGTACCGACATAATATGTTCTGTGAAATACGTACTTAATTGTTGTTCAATAATGATTATAATCGTAATAAAAATCAAAATCAATTATTATCTTCCTTTAACTGCTTCAGTGACGATCTAAAAAAAAAAAAAAGAATTTAATTTATTCTTTATTGCGTTAGTTAATTGTATATTGAAAATGATCTATTAAGTAAAAAAACAAAAATAGGTAGTGACTATTCATTTAAAAAGAAATGTAACACATTTGGCCAATTAGCGTACAATCAATTAAATATATAAATAATTAAAAAATATAAACATACACATATGTGCCAATGTCCCTGAAGTGGTATTTGAGAGAGGGTATAATATTGTTTCTTCGCAAGTCTTGGGCATACTTAAAACTCCCTTTGTACTGCTTTATCTCGTTCGTGACCAACAAATCTAGTATTCGAAATGTCGAAATTACCACTTAAAGCCTAGTGGACCGTGAGCTCGTATTTGCAATAAAAAAAGTAAAATATAAAATAAATTCAATTGAAAAGACAGTGATTGTTGAATAGTTTTTATCTATTCCAAAGCTGAAAGGACCCGCTGCTCACTTGCAGGCGACACGGCCGCTTATGCGGTTACTTCAGGTTGCGGAGTTTCCCTCTGTATTTTACACCGTTTGTTTCATGGCTAGTGCTCTGAGGAATTGTTTGAGATGATCCTCTCATCTTCTTTTTATCATTGCACCTCCCGCCATCGGAGCAGAGTTCATCCATATTATCTGGAGCCACTGCGGTCATCCACAGTGCGTTTCCAGAGGTCCTTGTTGCCATGTACCATCCGGCTATGGTATGAGCTCCCCTCCACGGTGTTTCCCGAGTGCTGTGACATATCCTTCTTCAAACGAGGCTTGTGGAGAGTATTAAACGGTAGGCAACGGCTTGGCTCTGCCCCTGGCATTGCGGAAGTCCATTGGCGACGGTAACCACTCACCATCAGGTGGGCCGTATGCTCGTCTGCCTACAAGGGAAATAAAAAAAAAAAAACGTGGTTATGTAATTCGGGTGTGAGTAACGCCGTAGCGCGCTATTTTAAGACTCTGGAATTACCGTTATTTAACTTTTTACGTTAAGAGAGTACGTTTCTTTTTGCTATCATTCGTCGACCCAGGAATTACTTTCCCCGTCCTTTCAAATCCTCCACGGTTTCAATTATACTCGATTTAAGGACCGACCAGAGGCATTAGACGACGCGTCCTTTGAAAGTGCTACATTATTGCTGAGGTGCCGCACTCCCCACGCTGGTACAGAACCAGCGGGGGCGGATTTGTTACTAATATTTTAAAATAAATTGTCCTTTTAACAAAAAAGTCCACCTTCGTTTAGAAAGCTAATCACCTACAAGACTTGTTATTCGAGTTGAATGCATTTGTCATGTACATTTTCACCTAACGGTAGTAACACCCATTAAACAGAAACTGGATTGGACGTTATAATTTGTAATAATAAATAATTCGGTATAATAATCTTGTAATCGAACCGTTATCAATATTAATTTCATAACTAAATAAATTCTGGCTTCGTTATCTTGTACATTATCAAGTTAACAGTTTAGTTCCTTTAAAGTGTTTAAAGCCATTTTTCATGTTTGTTAACTTTCAGTCTTTGCTATGATACCGATTTTTATCGGTAGGTTAATCGGTAGGTAGGTTAAGGACGATAGACATCGCTTTCCATAGCACTCGATGTGTGGAGCTCTCCTTGTGCTTAGTGGTATTCCGAGACTGGACATCAACGTGGATGTTGTCGGTCACCTTTAAGATATTATGATGTAGATGTTTTAGTTTTATTGCGTTACATACAGTAGTCTCAACCTATGTAGGTAAGACTATGTAGTCTTGAGAAAATAATTGATATACCGAACTAGTTTTAACAATAGTTAATAAATACGTTCGTCCTTCGCCATAAATCCGATCCCGACTCATGACATTTGCACGGAAACTAGAACCGGAATGCTTGACGACTTTTCACCAGAAATGGCAAAGGTTGTAATGTCGGCTCGTAAATACGCCCCCTACCATCAGTAATGCTTCATTAAACACNTAGTCTTGAGAAAATAATTGATATACCGAACTAGTTTTAACAATAGTTAATAAATACGTTCGTCCTTCGCCATAAATCCGATCCCGACTCATGACATTTGCACGGAAACTAGAACCGGAATGCTTGACGACTTTTCACCAGAAATGGCAAAGGTTGTAATGTCGGCTCGTAAATACGCCCCCTACCATCAGTAATGCTTCATTAAACACTAAGATTGTATTCCTTCATCGCGGAGGGCTTTCTTGAATACATGTCATGTACGTATTTCCTTAATAAATATTGAAATAGACACATCGCTCGTTACAACGGCTTTATTAGGTTTCAATGATATGGTGGATGTTATGATTTAGCTCTACGATCCATTCACAAGGATGTTTTTAACGTAAATCCTCAGCTTCACCGTGTTTCTTGTTAACATTGGCAGGCACTGCTACCAAAGTTACGTGGACTTCCACCGTTGCCAGAAAGTTCGCGGCGAAAAATACGAACCATGCTACTATTTCAAGAGAGTGTACAGGTCTCTCTGCCCCAATGAGTGGGTCGACAAGTGGGACAACCAGCGCGCCGAAGGCACCTTCGCCGGTAGGATTTAGATCCTAAACGTTCCCGATGCTTTAATTTATTTCGATTTGTTTTAATTAGGTCGAATGATGTGATTTAGTAAAATAAAATATGTTGATTCCGGAATTTTTGTTTATTTTTCATTACTAAAGATCTTTTATTAGGAGAGACTTATTTTTAAATGGGCTTTGAGGGGCAGACAAGTTCTGGTCATACCAGGTCAGAGAGCTGAGATCTTTCGACAATTGGAACCTTATAACAGGGGTCTTACCCGTCGCGACATAAGGTCTTAAACTCAATAATTGTAGTATAAACTTTCCACGTTTCATCTATTGCATTATTCCTTTGTGGTAAAAATGGAATTATTTATCGTAACGTGGAGCATCTGTAAGTTCCGTGAGTCTGCTAGAATTAGTACCTAAGTTTTTTTTTTTATGATTGAAGTATTACTGGTGGCCCGGAGGCCTTTCCAGTTTCACCAGGATAGGCGGACGAGCAAAGGCTCAGCCAGAAGGGGTGGAATTTGCTAACTACTCGAGCGCCTCCGAAGGAGACCTAACAACTCAAGAGCAACTGCTTCGCGAATGCCCGATAGCAGTATTATGGTAATAACAATAACAGTTACAAAAAAAGAAAACGTGACCACTCCAATCAGAATTTTAAGATTTATTATTCAGTTAAATAGGTCCTGGGAAAATGCCCTTCTCACGCTGTTCATCCCAATGAGAGATCCAATAATTAGGGCATATAGTTTCGTAATATCTCTTGAATATTTTGCAATCATCAACTTCGCCGAGGAGACGGGTGCATTTGAAATAATCACAGTAGTTATCGTAACACGCCCTGCAATTTGAATTATAATTCTAAATAGTATGCGAGTCGCTCCACTAACACTATGTATGTATTTACAATACAATGAAAAAACCAGCTGCCAATTGTGAGTAAACAGACGCCTCGCGTAACTGGCGTCATGGCCTTCAGAATGTAAACTATGTGAACAGGACTAGAACTTTTTTTTATTGCTTAGATGGGTGGACGAGCTCACAGCCCACCTGGTGTTAGTGGTTACTGGAGCCCATAGACATCTACAACGTAAATGCGCCACCCACTTTGAGATATAAGTTCTAAGGTCTCAGTATATACCGAAACCTATTACTGTTTCACGGCGGAAATAGGCTGGACGATAATACCTATCCGTGCGGATTCATAAGAGGTCCTACTACCAGTAAATCACAGAAATACAATTAGATTATTTATACCACAGTCCACACTGTGTTCAGTGATTAGCGAAGCCACAAGCATCACAGCGTGTAGCCGACAAGCACCTAGAGACAAAGTCGAAATCTCAATTGCATTCTCGAACGATCGTCGCACCCTTCACACCGGACGCACGAGTAGTTCGCGGCGGTAATGGAGAGTATGGTGGTACATCCGCGAGCGTCACGGCGCACATCACCAGCCATTACACAAATTAGTATTTCAGTAAAAAAGTTGGTACTTGCTCATGAGATTTGGACACAGACGCAGGCATCGCTCGATACGAGTACACCTTGTCTTTAGGCGCCTTATCCTTTAAGACGACGACGTCATGAATAACATTTAACAGCAGAAAATTCAAATAATACGGCCCGCCTCTATTTCTAGTCGGCAGTCACTAAATCATCAAAGAATATTGATGAATAGCATTTTAAATTTAATGCGCAGGGCTAAAATCTTTAATTTCTTACACGCCTTACCTGGTTTGGTTCTGGAAAGGGTACCGCGGGTCGATACGCAAAGTTCTAAATTCTTGATCGCACATTGTAAAAAAATCTAAATTCTTGTCACGTATGTAATGATAACAAACAATAAACTTCAATTTAAAAACGTAACTGGATTTAAAAAAGGTTCGGAACCTTTTTATTTATAATATTTTCTACATCGGCCAGGAGTCGGGATTCATGTAGATTTTTTAAACTATAAAAACAGCTTGCTATTAGTCGGTTTCAGGGGCCTTGATCATTAAATTATTTTAAACTTTTTAGTTTATGTAAACAGCTCTCTTGTAAGAGCACTGTCTACTTTTTGGTCACACTCTGCGGAAGTTATCAGAGAGTTAGAGAGCAGAGTTATCATAAATTTAAGAATATATTTTGCAAATGTACAATTTCCGAACCATTAACGTTCGGATCAACGCGACTCCCACCTGCTGTGTTGTTGCGGACGGCTGGTAGACCTCGAGGATGTTATTAGTGAAGAAATAAAAATCTTATCTTGGGATCGAATAGGAAGGAACAGTTTATTGGTGACAGTTCGCTTTTCATACAAAAATGTTTACACGAGACCCGTGGGGGTTCGAACATGGCCGCATACATAGTGTCACTATTGTAATCAATGAGCGACGCATCATCAGCACTAGACTGCCGGACATCGCACCTTTCGAATTATAGAAACCCAACTCTTAAAATTGTTTTTTGGAAAACATCGAATAAAGTTTTCTCGAAAAAGATGTAAGAGGAAGGGGACGGGGTGAAAGAGACCGATGGATAAGTTTGTCCCTTTTTAAGCTACTTTTGGTCATTTGTTAAGAGTCGCTAAAAAGGGTTGTTATAGGTCCATTTTTGAATTAAAGCCGAAACCCAAATTTTTTGAAACAGGCCTCTTTAATTCTAAAGGTGTGATATGTTCATATTTTCTCTTAAGTAAAAACATACAGATCATTGGAATTGGGAGTGAAGAGGGAAATAAATTGGTATTCTATTTTATAATTCTATTCAAACTAACATAGTTATAAGTAAATAAGTTATAAGTAAATAAATAAAAATAAAATCGTATGTCGCATTGACTCGTTCCGGCAACCTGGTCTTAATGAATGAATTTGAACACATCAAAGAATACAATAAACACTTGAGTTAGGTCCTAATGTTCGTTGTCGGAATGCTTGGAGGAGACGGTGAGCGTGGCGTACTGCTGCTGGCGGTGCAGCACGCCCAGGCACTGCAGCAGACACTGCATGCTGGCCGCAGACGTCGCCTGCACGACCACAATATACAACAACAGGATTGTGAGAGGAGTAATGTATTTTTTATGAAACTATCGTTTAATTTAGCTGTACTAACATGATACAGCGTAAATAATGGTAATAAAACGTTTTGTCAAAAAAAAATGTATTTTTTTCCTTCCCATCATATAAGGTGTCATTACTCATTAGTACTATCGCCTGTCTTCGTTTTTGGAGGCGGTCTCCTAACATCCATTGTAGATAATAAACGCCCAAACCAAGAGCAAACAAACCCGGTCATCACACGAATGTTTACCTAATGCGGGAATCGAACCCGCGACCTTCGGCGCCAGTCAGAGCTGCTAACCGCCGAGCCGGCCCGCGCTCACACGTCACAAATATACCTTCACTGATCGCGAGAGGCAGAGAGAAGTGTCAGAAGTTTTGGGAAGTGATTGCTATAAGCCGCGCCAATAAAGAAACGAATCTAAAATGGCGGCAGCGATCATGCGCTCTCACTCTAAACTATTGCCGTCTTTAGTCGCACACGGCGCGTACTGCGTGCAAAAAAATATCAGTTCTGACTTTGTTGTTGAGTTCGAGATTTTTCACTTTCGAGTTGTGCGACTTAGATGACTGGCAGCAAAAGTGTCTATTGCATCCCAGATGAGACACCTCCCTCTCTCCCAAGGCATAAAGTAAAGTACATTTTCATTGGTTTTTTTATATTTTTTTACAATAAACAACTTTTTTCTTTCTGTCTTTCTTTTTATTTGTTGACCCTACCATCTGTCAGTGCAGGTACATGGACGCCATTTTCGATTCGTTTCTTTATTGGCGCGGCTTTTAAAAACACTAATATTTGTAAATTTTTTTTTGTTTTCATACTGTACCTTCAAAAGTAACAAATCAGGATCCGTGTGAGGGAAGGGAGAATCTGAAGACTCTATGCAGCGCGCGAGGGCTGCGTCACTGCAAGTATATCATACAATTCAATGCTGCTCTTAGCAAAAAAGCTTAGACTTGAGAATTAAAACGAAATTTTGAAGTCGTCGTGGCCTAAAGAATAAGACGTCCGGTACATTCGTATCTAGCGATGCAACGGTGTTTGGATCCCGCCGGCGGGTACCAATTTTTCCAATGAAATACGTACTTAACTAATGTTCACGATTGACTTCCACGGTAAAGGAATAACATCGTGTAATAAAAATCAAATCCGCAAAATTATAATTTGCGTAATTACTGGTGGTAGGACCTCTTGTGAGTCCGCACGGGTAGGTACCACCACCCTGCCTATTTCTGCCGTGAAACAGTAATGCGTTTCGGTTTAAAGGGTGGGACAGCCGTTGTAACTATACTGAGGCCTTAAAACTTATATCTCTGGGTGGGTGGCGCATTTACGTTTTAGAAGTCTATGGGCTCCAGTAACCACTTAACACAAGGTGGGCTGTGAGCTCGTCCACCCATCTAAGCAATAAAAAAAAAGATAAACATATTGAAATCTATACGACTCGACCTGCGAGAGAATGAGACAGATATAGATAACATCTGACGGCGTACATCTACCGCGCGCAAATTGCCTATACCTACTTTTTTATTAGTCTCAATAGTTCGAATAAGAAAATCTAAGACTTCGCTATTCGGATGTCAGGTAAGCTTGGAGTTGTAGAAATGGCTAAAAATGTAAACTAAGTTATTGTTATACCGGTAGAAGTGACGCCATCTGTTGTCGAATATCAAAAACGGATATCGAAGTAACTGGGACACCTCGTGAATGATCTGGACGTTGGACATGTAGCCGTAGCCGAAACCACTAGAACTCGCCCCAATTTCGAAGCGAAGCGGACGGATCAATTTCGAAGCGAAGCGGACGGATCAATTCCAGTTCATCAAGCGAAGATGTGAATTGTGATAGTAAAATCTACCTTAATTGTTCCGATAGTTAAATTGAATTATTATTAGTATTATTTTTCGTATTATTTTAGTATTATTAGTATTTCGATGAAGAATTTTTAAAATGAAACTTTTATTACATCGTTTCAAACTTTTTCGTCTGTGTGTTGCATGTCGCGTGACGGTCGGCCGCGGAGTAGAGATAAAGTGAGTGGCACTCGTCAGAGCAGCCAAGGCCAATATGGCGAAGGGTTCAATAAAAATATTAGTAGGAGACTTAGTCTACTTTTATTCTTTCCCATTATCGTTCCAATTTTCTAAGTATAAAATTACGATTCATAAAGCGATTTTTATACCCTTAATGGAATATTATTGCAAATTTTTTTAGTTAAATGTCTATAATGTGAAAACAAGTTTCACTTTTACTGTGGTTTCATAAAACCACACAAGACTTTTTTATTTGTCCTGAGTTCCAGCCCGTAACAATATAAGCATTAGATTCTTGTCTCACGATGATTTAATATCTACTTCTAATTTCTACTTCTGTTGATGGGGCGAGCGGTCCGTGGCACGATGCCACTGAGTGCTCGTGTCCCGTCGGGAGCAGTTACCTGAGTTCGGTCGCTTGTAGCTGCTGCCTGGCCGACGCCATGGCGTCGTGGACCGCGAGCTGCTCTCTCGGCTGCAGGGGCGGGTTGGCCCCCATCGCCTAAAAGGTTAACTGATTAAAATATCGGAGGAATTTGTTTTTCGTGCCAGGGTCGAGCCCCGCTGCGGGGTGGGGTCTACTAAGCTAGGGAGGCCTCCGCGGGGCGGGGTCGGGGTACAGCTGGCGTCGAGTGGCTAGTGTAGCGCATAGGTGTTGACGCCGCCTTGAGATGTGAGTTCAATATTACACGACGGCTGCCGCGCCCTACAATCCGGTTCAGAGAGCGAGAGCCGCATCTCAAGGCGAGTGAAGGCACTTGCAAATACGAGTTCTCACTAAACAGAAACGCCACCTTGGTATGTATCTCAGCAATGGCCCTGAGCCCGTCGACCCACTCCTGGCGCGCGCGGGCGTCGGTAGCTCTCAGCTTCAACATGTCGCCGGACGCGCAGTTTATGGTGAAGGTCCTGGAGTCTTCATCGCTTGGGCATATCACTGCTGCGGCTAAATGAGCCTGAAATTGTTAATATACTATATTTTTATTGTTTTCTTATATAAGGCCAACGACTCGTAAAAACTGAAGAAATTTATTTTTATTTTTTGTTAATCTATATATTAATACGTGAAGTAAAAACTTTGTACCCTTTTTACCAAAATTGCGCGGATGGAGCAGTATGAAATTTCCCACACTTATAGAGAACATAGAGAAGAAGTGCAGAATACTCAATTTTTTTTTAATTATGCATAAAAAATACAATAAATCCATAAAAAAACATTACACACACTACCATGTNAATTTATTTTTATTTTTTGTTAATCTATATATTAATACGTGAAGTAAAAACTTTGTACCCTTTTTACCAAAATTGCGCGGATGGAGCAGTATGAAATTTCCCACACTTATAGAGAACATAGAGAAGAAGTGCAGAATACTCAATTTTTTTTTAATTATGCATAAAAAATACAATAAATCCATAAAAAAACATTACACACTACCATGTATTTGACACACACATGCATGCATACTGTTTGTTTATTGTCAAGCTTTTCATACTGTTTGCCTATAGATAGTCTTGGTGAAATCTATGATCATATAAGTATAAGAAATAGCCTTTGACAATAGAACCCTAATAATGTTAACTTATGATTTCAATTCATTATAGTCTAATTTTGACTACTACAGGTCCACTAGTAATTATAAATCTAGTATGTTCTTGGGGCACATTGTCTCTCTACTGCATCAGAGATATTTGTGTAAACATATATGGATTGATTGGCCTGAAAATGTGCACTGCATCTTGCCTGTGTAGAGTGCGGGTGAGCAGCATTACCATCTTAGAATTCTCTAAATAGCTTGATTGTTGATACATTGCAACACTGTTTGTTTACTGACAAAAAGAAAGATACTATTTAAATTTACATTTTATCATATCAATTGTTTGCATTTTTTTAAATTTACTTGAATATCTTATTTTTTTCTTTTATTCATACTATCTAAGTACAATAATTAAAATAAAATCAAATGTTTAATGATTCTTATCTGAAAGAAAAGTCCCTGAGTGCACTATTTCACTATTTCGAGGTCACTATCACTCACCTTGAGGCATGAACTCGCAGTTAGAACTGTAATGTGTAGCTGCTATCCCACCCATCAAATCAAAACACATGACTACTTCAGAAACAGGGGAGAAAGAGACGATTCACATTAGTGATAATTTTCTGATGAGGATAATAGATAATGAGTGAAGTCTACCTTTATCTTATTCATCCACTATCTAAAATTAAAAGTATGTGTGGATATGTGATATCATGAATAGTTGGGAAAAAAATAATAATTTTAATCTGTTCAGGATACTATCATTGTACTTATTTCTGCCATGTCTATACTTGTCATTATTATTCAGATTTGACAGAGAGAACAACCATGACACATTAGAATTGAGACTTCAATCTCATATCTCAGCCCAGGTACTAGCATTCACATTATGATGTTGATCAATTCCATAAACTAACTTAATCGAAGATGGGCTATATACTCCTTCTGTTTATGCAGAAAGTAAAAAAAAACTCCTAGTACATACAAGTATACATTCATCTGCATTTATTTTAGTTTTGTAATAAGGTCTCACCTCCCCCCTGGCCGGCTGTCCAGGCTGTATTGTGTCTCCTGGTCCATCATAAAGATAATAAGATAGAACACCAGTCTCAGGATCAACAGCAAACCATCTTTGCTGCCATCCCTTCACTACATTTGTGTATTTATACAATTGACCTGACAAAGGTCTATGTGATGTTAGGCCTGTTTTCATCATTTTCATACCAGTTTATTGAGATTAATACCTAAAAATAAATTAAAGAAATTATGTACTAATTAATATCTTTAATGTATGAATTACAATGAAGAATGTTTGGTTTTAAATAATTTACACATACCTACACATTTTGAATCTTTTGTATGTATTATTGTTTTGACTTTTGACATTTGATCAGTAGGACAGTCAGATGAAAAAATGCCGTGATCATGTTACAATATAAAAATATGTACAAAAGATTGTTTGTTTATACATACTTTTTATTTATTTTCGATCATTTTGTAATAATTGTAGTCATTTATCACCCGTAGCTTAATATCACATCAAACATCACCAGGTCCTTGATCTCTCTCTGGGGTTAAGATCGTGTTAAGATCTCAATTTCATTTTATTCCGCTCCAAATAATTTTTCATTTCACAGAGAAGGGACGTTCAAGGATGTAAAATCATAAGTTTTTGATAATATGAGTTTGGAACACGATGAGCGAAATTGTGTGAATTGTTTTATTTTATTCATTTCTTCAGGTTTAAATGTGTAAAAACGGTGGTTGGTTAACTGTCTAGTATCTATGAAAGTGTACAAATGTGCTAAAGTGTAACAAAGCCATTGGAAGCTTCTTGATTTCCAAAAACGCTACTAAAAAAGCATCAATAAACAACCACAGTTTTACTGAGACTTTATTTCATTACATCTCATCTCACTTCATTTAATTTCATCCCAGTTTATTAATGCCTCAAATTAATCATCTTCATTTAATTTCACTCCAAATTATCGTTTTTCATTAAAAATAAGAATATCATTAAAATAAGACATGACCTAAAGGTCTTAGTAACCAGATCATAAAATCCCTTTAAAAAAATACATACATAATATCCACCACAGATTATACATGATATCCACTATCCACTCAAAGTTATTAATTTATTTTTTTAAAAATAAAGTCATAAGTTTAATATTTATACGAATCGCCTTCGTCCGCTAATACTGGTTCAAGATGTCAGGACGAGGTATTTAAAATTTTACTTTGTTTATTTCAGAAATTAAACAAAACGTCAAAATACCAAGTTCATAAAATCTGTATTTTTCATCAGTTTTATGGTTAGCTACGAATCACCAAAATTATTCAATATTCATCTTAATTTTACAGGAAGGCATAGAGGTTACCGTAATCGCAATCAACAGACTCTATCTACAGTTGCGAGGGAAGCTGCTGCTTCGCTCGCTCCGGACAGTCCGATCTTAGCCATGTTTAAAAATGCTGCTCTAAAACTAAATGAACGACAGGATAGACACGAAAGACTGGTCAAACTCTCGAGAGACATTACTATTGAGAGCAAGAGAATTATTTTCTTGTTACACTCGGCTATTACGTGAGTATTTTGAAATAACTTTTGAAACAAAAATAAACTTTAATAAATCGTAATTATTTAGTATTCGGATCAAACTTCAGCAAACTCTGACTTAAAGACCTCAATAAAGCAAGATATATTCATAGATCAGAAATGTATCAACTGTGTTTTTTAATTAATAAATTATTTATTTTCAGAGAAGAATCTACAGCAAAAGTAATAGAAGAAGCTAAAGAAAGATTTCAGAAATTAATAAAAGGACCAATTAAATCTGTAGGCTTGGAACTTGAGAACAGTCCTGCATATTTACATTCACGGGCAGTAACTGCAGGTTTCCAAGAATACATTGAAGCAAGAACTTTATTTTCTCTTATGGAGACCAAAAAGCTAATAAGTTGGCCAGAGATACGAGATGAATTCGTTTTTAGCATTCCAGAAGCTGAAAGTGACAAAAAGAGAACTGTTATAACAATGGTATTACATTTGGACTACATGCTTGGGTTGGCTGATCTGACTGGAGAGTTGATGAGAAGAGCCATCAACAGTATATCAAATGGAGACAGCAAGGAATGCTTTCATGCTTGTCAAGTTGTCAGAAATCTTTACACTGGGTATTTAGGTGAGATTTTTTATATATCATTTATTAAAGTAAGTTTTGATAAGGGAATTCATTTCAAAATAAATGACAAGTGGAGAAAATGGTATAATAACCGGCAAACTTCTTGAGCATTTGTTGACGTAGTGGGGGTAAGTTTGCGCATGGTACACTCACGTGCAAAAACATTACTTACTCTGCGTCATAATGCTATTAAATTATTAAAATCAACATATGTATTTATTTATATATTTATTAGAACATCAACAAAACATATAGGTTAATAATTGTAATAATTTAATCTTGGGGTAAAATAGATATTCCTTCTATTAAGTCAAAACTAGAGCTGTTGCCAGGTCTTGGTTCAGTTGAAGCGAAGCTGGTATTTGTAATTTTTTTTTCGTTATCATAATCTTGACCATCATCATCATCACTGTTTTCATCACCCGAGTCGCTATCATCGTGATGAGTCGACATAGGGCTCATCGGCGTAGTTTACAACTCGGTCGATTCGGTCTTCTTTTTTGTCTATAATTAATTATTTTTTGAAGATATTCGATTCGTAGTAATCGAATGTTACTTTTTTCATTTACCAGCTTCCGATTATTTTCTGTTCTTTTTTTCCATCTGAAGCCTAGCTCTTTCATAATTCGTCGTAAGCTTCATTCCGAGCCATTAAAATTTATATCTTCTTTAAATTTTTCGAAGCCTTTCTACGGTACGGAGTTTCGCTGCTTGTTATGTAGTTATTATGATTACATCTTTTTATTACAGATTGAACGAAACTATCCATTCCGGTAACTTTCTTCTTCCCTGATCTTTTCTTACCCGGAGTCCGAAACACGGCGAGCAAGCCAGAGCCTTTAGCTTCGTTAATAATGCACCTAACAGTACTCACTGATGTTTTTGTTGCTTCCGAAGTCTGTTTTAATTTTTCCATATCATTCTTCCCCTGTTTTATGATGAAGCAATATACGTCGTACACAAATTTTCTACCATTTATTTTAAGTACTACACCAGTTTGTCACGGCATAGTGTATGTTTTATAAAAAATCAACAAACACTCAACAAATAGCAATGGCAACAAAGTCCACAAGCAATTATAACAAATAACTTAACGATTAATAACGATAGACTTTCAACTGTACGCAAGCTTACTTTTGGGAGCAAGCGGAATGAAGGCGCGGTGCGGGACGCAAGGTTCGACTGATCTACCAATAACGCGCCCGATACGATTTCCCCTGCCGTCGCGCCTCACCCTCACCACCAAAGTGATCTAAAATTCGGTTCTGCGCAGTCAAGGTCATTTGCTCAAGAAGTTTGCCGATTACTATACATAATTTTGTTTTTGCCTATTTATGTATGGATATCTCTAAGACATTTATATACATGATGCTTTCAGGGCTATTTGGTATAGGTAAGGAATTGGCTCGCAAAATGAATACAACACGCAGCAATGTAGCAAAAGTTGAGAGTGCTGTCTATGCCCTTCAAGTGCGAGGAGGTGAGACTCCCATGCTGTTGCTGCAAATACCACCCCATGAATCCTGGGAAGATGTTCATTCTGATGATGAAGGATATTATTGATATTAAAACAAGAATGCATTAATTGTTTTTTTTTTCATAATCCTTTTTACGAAGTAGGCACTATGTATTGTGAAAGTAGCTTACTACAAATGAGAAGAGCTCTTGGATATAACTGGACGAAAACAAGTGGCATAATCAACTGCAATTTTAGTAGTTTACGATCACCAGATAAATAAATATTTTAAACATATCGACGCTTGAAAGGCATACGTTACTAAGCGACAATAACTGCTCTGTACATAAATGATAGGCAATAACCATATTCGTTGCGCAAAAATAATATATTTCTAGGTCTATTAAAATAATTTCAATCCTACAGCTAGATTTGTTAAAATAGAATTTTTTTCAGGTATTACAACTTTAAATTAGTCTACTGTAAAGTTCATGCATTGTCACTTAGTCATGTTTGCCTTTCAAGCATCGATATGTTTTTAAAGGCTACACGATATTGTATGCATATGTTTTCTGTCTGTCAAATCTGTAGTGTTTTTGTCTCCAGAACACTACAGATTTTTCAGCCATCCTCATTCTATCTTTCACTCAAATCAATGATATTAAGCCGTTTTTAATCAACAATTTTGCATAAAATGACAACAATTGCAACAAAGAATAACACTGCATAAAGTCAGTCAACTTTAAACAGTAATGCGTTTCGGTTTGAAGGGTGGGGCAGCCGTCGTAACTATACTGAGACCTTAGAGCTTATATCTCAAGGTGGGTGGCGCATTTACGTTGTAGTTGTCTATGAGCTCCAGTAACTACTGAACACCAGGTGGGCTGTGATCTCGTCCACCCATCTAAGCAAAAAAAAAACTGTCTGATTAGCAAGTTTTTTTTTGCACTTGTGGGCAGATTTATAAGCGACCCACCTGGTGAGTAGTTACCATTGCTCATGGACATCATAGCGCTGAGGAAACACCGAGAAGGAACCGTCCCTGCCTTACACCTGCGACGAATGAAGCCGTGCATACCTTTATACCTGTATGATGTATTTTTATATTGATCCGGTTTTGTTTTTTACAACTGTGGCCTTCATTATGGTAGGCGTTTGTGAGTACTTGTGTGGACAGTGGACAAAATAAAATGTGACAGTAAAAAATAAAATGATGATTTTATTACATAATATAACATTAAACATAACGCAGTCAGCAGTGGTCCTCCGCGCTGGGCGTCCACTCGTCCGACTCGTCGGTTGCGAACGGATCCGGCTCGTCCGATTCAGAATCGCACAAATTCTCCCGCTTTATATATTTCCGTACCCTCTTCCCGTTCACAATCAGACCATTTGTCGGCTCATCATCTTCGCTTTCACTATTACTCGAATTCTTTTTATTCCTATTTTTTCTACCTGTTTAACACATGCATTTTTTTTAATTTTTATATAGTTTTATCAAGATAAGTGGAGATATAACTGATCGGATATTTCTAGTGAATTCTTATAAAGTACATCGTACATTAGGAAGTGTATTAGTGAGTTGTTAGAATTCGTAATCGTAGTCGACGCTGTCTCCGTCTGAATCTTCGACTTGGAAGTGATCGTCGTAGAAGTTGACGGTGTGCGCGTTTATATAGAACGTGTTCCCGTGTCGCTGAACTAATTGCATACCTGTAAAACATTGTATCATAGTTGATTCACATTTTTTACAGTGACATGTGAAAAACTTAATGGTATATCTTACTTTGCGTTAATGTTTTACTGGTGGTAGGACCTCTTGCGAGTCCGCACGGGTAGGTACCACCACCCTGCCTATCCGTGAAGCAGTAATGCATTTCGGTATGAAGGGTGGGACAGCCGTTATAACTATACTGAGATCTTAGAACTTATATCTCAAGGTGTGTGGCGCATTTACGTTGTAGATGTCTATGGGCTCTGTAGAAGTAGTTGTATTAGTTCTGCTTCTAACTGTATTAGGTAGGCGCTGACACGAAGGATGCTTTACCCAGAGAGTATGAATATGTACTGCTTTAAATAGTTTATTGTAGATAAGTATGTACACAAACACAAACTATAACAAGGGTGGTACGATAAAGAAATAACATATAGGAGTAGTAAAGCACTGACATGAACGATGGGTAGCACAGCGAATATCGATGTGTACTGCCCGCAGTTTTCAAGATTGCCGAAGTGTTGAACAATAATAGATGATTGCCTGAATTCATAAGCGACAGCGATTTTGTCGAATTGTAAGGCGGTTGCCCAAGTAGTGGTGAGTAAGTGAGTCGCCACAGCTCCAGTAACCGCTTAACGTCAGGTGGGCTGTGAACTTGTCCAACCATCAAAGCAATAAAAAAAACCATCAATAATGCTTACATCTCATGCTTATTGAAGCAAAGCTTTTTATTGAAGAAGCATTTTGTTATGTCTATGTGCGAAACTAGTCATTTAACGACATACGGGCTATGTGCCGTCATCATTTGATTGCTATATATTGATCAATCAAATAAGAAAAAACCATGCCCTATTGACCCATATTGATGGGCGAGCTACTAATTGATGTATGATAAAGCTAAACACAAGTACAACAAGTAGGTAGGTACCTGGTGGGTCCCCGTGGCGGGCGGGCGCGGGTGCGGGTGCGGGCGCGGGGTGCAGGTAGTCGCGGCGGTGGCGCGGGTCGCGGCGCGTGCAGCGCTCCCCGTAGCGACAGCGCGGCGCCGGCGTCCAGTCCGCGTCGCGCGGGTGGCTGTACAGCGCCGCGTGCTGGGGGTTGCGTCTGGAATCATCCGAACACTTTAATGCAACTAATCAACATAAACCTGCTCTTTATTTAATATATTTTGCACACACAGCTGTTAGAAGAAACACGACAATAAGGATATAGTACAAGGGCATTACTTATTCCACTGAAATCTCTTCCAGTAGGCCCGCAAAAGGAAAGATAGTGAATACAGTAAACATGATCTAAAACATTTTAACACTTGTAATTGTTGACTGGTATTTTGCAATTAGTACACAAGGCATTAACTGAACTTTGATGAACCTTAATTTATTTAATGAAGTTTTTAAAATTATCTTAAAGCCTGTATTTTCCAAAATAAATTGAACTCCCCTTTGATTACTGAAACATACCTGTAACAATTAGCACCATACATGCACCTCTCTCTGGGAGACTTAATTCCCTGGGCACCATCATGGTTACCATTCTGTGATGTATTTTGATCCTTCACTTCTCCATTATCATTTTGTTCCTCTTTCTGGAACCAACAGGTAAAAAACACTTGTTTTTAATTTATTTAAATCTGATACTTCTGATCTTCGGAGCCAAGTGTTTTGAGGGTCACAATCTCTATAATCCATGGACACAATGTTAAACAAATTAATTATACTCATACAGGGTGTCCCACAAAAGGTATATGAAGCAGATTAAAATAACCGATTCGACGGAAAACATAATAATATGTAAAGAGATAGTTACAGATTACAGAATAAAAAGGACAAACATAACAAATAATCCATTCTATTAATCCTCAAGTTATGCTTTACAGTGATGGGTACCGTAATATGATTTTTGGTAAAAGATAAGGATGACCGCGAGTGCGATTTTTTTATTGCTTAGAAGAGCTCATCCCGAGCTCAAGGCCCATATGGTGTTAAGTAGTTATTGGAGTGTATAGATTTAATAACGTAAATTCCGCTACCACGAGACATGAGTTTTAAGTCTCAGTTTATAATAAAAAGCCCCCAGAGATGATGGTATAACAACTGAGTTATTGAAGGCAGGAGGAACATATCTCTTAGTAGAGCTACAGAAGCTCTTCAGTCACGTCATTCACCGCGGGAGAACTCCGAAGGCGTGGAACAACATTATTGTTGTCATCTTTTTCAAAAAAGGGGACAAACATTTTTTTTAAAACTACAGATCAATCTTCCTCCTGAACCACGTCTATAAGTTGTTCTCACGAGTCATCACAAATCGTCTAGCAAGAAGGTTCGACGAATTTCAGCCCCCAGAGAGGCTGGGTTTCGAAGTGGCTATGGAATCATAGACCACATACACATAGTGCGGCAGATTATACAAAAGACCACAGAGTATAATCGGCCCCTGTGTTTAGCATTCGTGAACTATGAGAAGGCTTTCCACTTCATCGAGACCTGGACTGTGCTGGACTCTCTGCGGCGATGCCAAGTAGACCATCGCTATGTCCAGGTGTTGAAATAAATGCCTCTATAACTGTGCCACGATGAATGTTCGAGTACAGAATCAGCAGTCTAACCCTATCTAATTGCGTAGGGGGGTGTGAGACAGGGGGATGTCATTGAAAAACTGACAAAAGTACATGGCAACACCTCAACTATAGGTGCAATCGACAGTGCATTAACAACAAAAATAAAAAATATATAACTAAAACTTGATTACATTTAATTACTTATGATTAATTTATATTTACTTGGGAAATTATCCGCAACAGATTTTTCCTGTAAGTTGTGAGACAATTAGAAAAAACCTATTTCATCACTTAAAATTAGTTCAGCCCAATCGGACAACTCCGAATGAACACTGACGGTGACCGCGCTACCATGGACATTATTGTAGTCCCAAAGGATTCTGTTTAAGAGAGAATAAGCACCTAAATTCGAACGAGCGAGCTTTCTTATAAGCGGTTTATATTTCTTCGTTCTTAGTAAGTACTGATACTAAGAATGAAGAAATATAAACCGGGGCTGATATTTTTAACTGGGTTAAGAGATTAGGTGTGTCCGTTATTCCATGGATTAATCAGGTGGATACCCCACTCTGAACAAATATTAATATATTTTATTATGTATTATTTAGACATTTTTGTCCACCTTGAGATTTCATTGTTCTTGTTACATGTCTGTGCAAAACTGACTTACTTATGTTAAATTGCTTAGCTTTTTCAACTAAAGACTTATTCCTAATTTCATAGGCTTCTATTACTGTTTTTAATATTAAGGGATCATATATCTTATAAGGATTTGCATTCTATGATACGTACACGCGAGGCATATCTAAAAATAGAAAATAACACGTAACTGATATTATAAATATTTGCCAAACAATAAAATAAAACTGCATTGAAATTTTAGAATAAAATTTCTAGACAAAAACATCATGAATAAACCAGATTCTTACCAACAAATTTAAAAAATATTGTTGTAACTACTTAATAGATAGACAACCCCACATACCTGTACCTATTTATACTTAGGTCGTTTCCATTTCACTTATTCTCATCCCAATTGACCCCTTTACAGTTGTTATTACTACCTGAGACGTCCCCAATATTCCCAAAAACAACAGATTTTTACATGTATTTTTATTTTATCAAATACATTAAAACCAACACTAAATAACGTTTATAAATCACAGTCGTCTTCTATTATTATCGAATAAATAAAAGAGAGCAAAGTTTCTAGCACTAAAATAACACAAGAAGTTAATTTGAAATGCAACTTTTTATAAGTTAGCAGCTATTATCATGCATATTCAGAGACTTTTTGTGAACTTTCAACATTCTACTATTACTCTACAAAAAATGGAAGATTTTGCAACGATTAAAAAACTAGTATTGAACGTCGAAAGGTTTTCTTGGTTTTTTCCCCATTCACCTCTCGATTCCTAATCACCCCATTTTACGGTAATACAGTAATTTTTTTGAAGTTACACTTTTTTAGGCGCGTTATGAAAAATTAATGGAGTGAAATTTAACGATGCGCACCGTGACACAAAATTAACAGAATTAAGTTGCCCACTAAATCGCTCATTACAATACGACCGACGTAACTTGGCGAGTCTGAATATAGCCGCAGGTGAACTTTCCGAACCGTACCGAGAATTACCGAATCTAAACGATGTCAAGAAAAGGGATGTCCAATATGCGTGTTTGAGGATGTTGTTTAATCGATTTTTTTTCAAATTGATTAAAAATTAAATTAAATAAAAGAAATAAATTTAATAAAAATTAAGTATAACTTCTTACGCGCATACATAAGTACACGCACCCTTCTTTTTTTTTGTAAAATGCTTACATGTTGATCACAGCTCGGTCCCGCCACACTAGAGTCTTCATGTCCTCTGGCCTCATCTCCAGATTCTTCTTCGTTTTTAATTTTCAATCTCTTACTGTCTGAACTATTGTTGCAATCTTCTGAAGTCATAGATCTTTTACCTACAATTTCATCTTGAGATGATTTTTGAGGACTTTCAGATTGTTTTTCTAGTGATTGTTCTTCTGAAATTGGGTATTTTTACAACTTAAGAAAATACTTGATTCAACTACAATGTGCTTATTTTGTTGTTATTTAATTCCAAAAATATTTATATAAAATTAAAAATAGTTTTTAATGTCTCTAAATATCTTATTGAGAAGTCCAATTTTGATTTAAAGCAAAAAGTAAACTTACTTAATGTTTGTGGAGCTTCACCTTCCTCAACTGTCTCTTGTAAGCCATTTGTTTCATTTAAATTATATTCTTGTGTTGCTCTCAACTCGTTGGGTATTTCTTTATTATCAGCTGGAGTACTATTGCTTGTAACATAATTTTTCATCACATCTGATGAGCACCATATTAATTCAAACCAATATGTATCAGGTAGTATACCAAATTTATCACCATTACATAGCAATTGTGCATTATTCTGTGTTAATGTCCGTTTGCTGTTTGATAATTTGTCAATATAGAAACATGGATTTTGGTGTAACTGAAAAAATATTTGTTGTTGTAATGATGTTGTGTAAAAAAAATTTTTTTGCAATGAAATGATACAGATAGCAGAACGCTCTGAGTGTAAGCCAATCTGGAAACTAGTTTGAAGTGTTTGACACTGCTGCAGCTATGAAATTATTTTTTAGCTACTTACAGACTTTAAGATGACACAGGTATCGGTGACTTCAATCTCTGCATGATTTCTTGATACCCTCATATCTTCTGCATCATTCTATAAAAAAGAATTTCTTATGTTTTTTTTAAATAAAGTTTTCAATTATAAGACCAAAATTTCACACTTGAATAATTGTGTATGAAACATCAACATCTACAGCCCAAAGGGTTTTTATTGCCACTGTCGCCAGATAGCCCATTTGATAGTGAATGGTTAGCATCACTCCTAGACATCAACAATGTTTTGGGTACAGCCAAGCTATTGCCCACTGAAATAGAATTCATAATAAAGGACTCCTAAAAAGGATCTTTGAAACAAGAATGTATAAAATGTTTGCAAATGGGGAAAAGTGTCAGTCTGATGATGATAACAACTCTATTATCATGGAATGGACCATGGCATCTAGAAAATAAAATTAATCTTACTAAATTTAATTGACAGCATTTAACTTATTTATTTTCATTATGTAGTGACAAAATTGCAAAGTTCATAAGGTGTTATCAAATTTTTTATTCGTGATTTTAAATTGTTATCTATTTATTACAGTATACAAGCAAAATAGGCGTAATCTGAGAACGTAGGAAACTATCCGTTTATCGTATCGTACACAAGAGATACAGAGTAAAGAAGATACATACTTTAAAAAATCGAAAACTTACAATAAGGTGTAATTGAGATCATTAGTAGACTACTTACTACAATAAACTTTCCTCTGCCTATGATGTGTGTACCCTCAGGAAGGTCAATCTTTTGAGGCTCTGAAGTATCAATTCGCACTAATTTAAACTCCATCGTGACTCAATTATTATTAGCTGTCATCACTGTTGTTCAAAACATAAAACAACTCTCCTTCCACATTATTGGAAAGCTGTTCAAGATTTCAGAATGCAAATAGTAAATACTTTATAAATTATAACTTTAAATTGACAGTACTGTATGTATTTAGTTTGCGGAGACCTTTTTTCTACAGATAATAATTAGTTAATAAGTAACCTTTTTCGAATTAATCACGATCTTCAAACTTATTTACAAAAAAGCAAACAGATTGCGTCTAATAATGCCGGCCACTCATATGCGCGCAAACATTCGTACCATAGATTATACACTTAATTGATTCGTACGTTGTACGAATGTTCGCGCGTATGTGAAGGAAGGGCTGTCAGACATTCATTCGCAAACTTAGCGGCTGTGCAAATGTGTTCGGTATTCAATTTGCGAACCCGTTTGCGCTTCCTCCTACACTTGTTTACGAATGTCTCACGAATTTCTCTTCTTTCTTAATTCGTCAATAGAACATTGAAGAGAAAAAGAGTTTTTAATTCTTTCCCAGGCGTCATTAACCGCCATTCTGTTTTTTTGGGATTTCTTTTGAGGGTCCCATATGGTTGATTCATTTTGCAGGAGTTCAATGAACTCCATCACCTTGGTGTTGTTCCAATCTATGATGAAGGTACGCTAAACAGTAGACGTCACGAACTATGAAAATGGCGAAACGTCCGTTACCTTCGCAATCGTAGGCGCAACTGGTAACACGAATGTGTGGGAGAATACGCGAAGGATCGCGGTTCGCGCGCTTTGATGTCCGTTAAAAAACCGACACAGCTTGGAAAACCACGAATGCAGCGAAAAATTTGCATAATCATTTGCAAATGTCATCCTACACTTGTGGGTTTGCGTATTCTTGCGAATGTGAGTGACCGGTCTAAAAGTAGGTACCTATTATCTATGGGTTTTTGCATATGGTATGAAAGAAATCTATTACCTCGACACATTTACGATTTTATTATTAACGTTTTTTCAGTTTCCCCATCAGCTTCTTGCTTAAAGAGAAATATCGTTCGGTTCGTGATGCCATTGTTGAGTTGAAACAGTTTAAATAAAATTTATTTTCATCCTTTTTTATAGCTTTTTGGCAGCTTACAATACCAGCGCTTAAGTTCTTAATAATATAAGCATAAGTGATGCCAGAGGCATAGCTAAGACACGGCCTACCGGTGGGGACTTTCCTCAAACCTCCTTTGAAGAATAGCATGTCAGAGCGCGAAATATTAGGTATGGAGGAAAGTTCTAAGTCCAGTTGGTCCATGGCAAAAAGGAGCTTTTCTTAGGGCTACTTTCGGAACCATGGCCTGAGGTTTACGCTCTGGTCCAAAATTTCTTCACGATGTAGGACTACTGGACTAGCATGATAGCCGTGTCATCGACGAAGAGGAGTAACTAGGCCGATGGTGATAGTGAGTTGTCATTTCATAATATCATTTTTCATATAAAAATATATATAAAAGATTAGGCTCTATGGTACGATACTTTTGCCTTTCCAATTGGAAAAGTAAAACGACTACTACTGTGTATGGTTTAAAACTAAATCTATAGAACAGACAAGCCTGTATGGGCTTAGATCCCTTTGCCTTTCCTAATAAGGAAAAATTCATGGAGTTAATAAGGAAAAATTGTACAAAAAAAAAGGTCTATGGCTAAAACTGTACCAAAAAAAGGTCTTTTATTTTTGAGGAATAATATTCCTGAGTTTTAATTAAACTAATTTTACTCATAGAAATTCGCGTTGACTGACCAGAGTCCGCGAATTTCTAGTCGTATCGCCCCAACTATTACAATTTCACAAGAACTCAGGTAAATAATAATTAAGTTTGAATATTAAACAGTGCATTAACCTACGTTTATTACACTGTGAACTTTAATAATAACATAAGGCGGATGAATTGGACAGTGTTATACTTTTATGTTATTATATAGTTAATAGTAAAATATATACCAATTTACAGGAATTTAAAGTGAAATAGAAAATGGCACAAACGTTAACTTTTGGTGACTCATGCGCGCCGATAACATGTCATGCATGGAACAAGGATAGAAGTCGTGAGTACCTAACGTCACTAATACAAATTCAACAACTATTAATGACATAAAATCATGTCTTCTTAATATTTAAAGTAAAAAGCAGAAGTGTCTCCTATTATTTAGGATCCAGAAAATTCTCCAATGTATGTGTTAAGGCCTGTGATCTCACCCCTCAAACCAGTATGACTGCTTTTGGGAATTAAGATACACAAGTTGGTGATATCTAGATGCACAATGACTGAACGGTCGAAGTACTACTTGAACGGTCGTTTGTTCTATTGTCGTCTTATATGAGAACGGTCAATTCGTTCTTTTTCGTCTTTTTGTCTCTTTCTTTAAGGACGTCAAAAAATTTACTGCATGCTGCTGGTCACGTATGCCCTTGTTCCATTTCTTTTCGAATTATTTTCTAATCTCTGTCTTAGTCTGTGTCTATGTCTAGTCTTTGTAGGTCTTATGTCCTGTCAAAGAGGTTGCACGCCACGACAATGACACAATACAGGGCGTATTACTACCAGCTTTTATGGATGAGTTAAGGGAGATTATTAAAGGCAGTTAAATGAGATAGGTGTCATATCACTACCTCCTGATAGATGGTAGAATAAAGTATTAATACTCTGGCCCAGAGCCCAGAGCTCACAGAATAAAATGATATACAGTCAAACCTGGATAAGCGAGAGTTCAAGGGAGCACAATCTCATTCTCGCTTATAGAGGTTTCTCACTAACCCGAGTTTCTCGCTAATGCACCCTCTGAATTACATTGCGCGATTTTCCGGATTCAAACGCATTCACTATCTTAAGTTTATCACTTAATGACAGTACTTTAATTTTCCGTTTTGTCATGATGCAG